TGATATGCTCAAGGGACAGTATCCCTCCCAAAATTTGCGCGCTTCGGTGCCCTAGCTCAGAAAAAGCGGAAAATGAAAGATTCAACATCATTATAGTAACAAATAATATTTTAGCATATATTTTATTCTCTTGGCTTTCTAGGTGACAAATGATGTTGATGTTGAAAAAGGTTGTTTTGAATCACATGTTAGCAACACCCTTTTCCACAAGAAAATCGACCATCTGAAGATTGCATACAGAATTACAAGCCTTGGATCTTACCGTACCTGGCACCAATGTCACAACTCAGTCACCATTTGTCGTACCTGGCGTGTTACGTAGCGGGTTAATGCACCCACAACCCCCCAGGCTCTGCACCTGTGGCCCTTCCCCGAGGATCTTCTCAAGGGCAACCCCAGTGGGTCTCTCGACACCCCCCCTCGCCGGGATAGGCGGAGGACACGAGCGCCTCTTCAGCGCTGGCACTAGGAATTGAACCCGAGTCACCCGCGCACTGATACCACGCCAGAACTCAGTCACTAACCACTGAGTTAAAAGGGCGTGTTACGTAGCGGGTTAGTGCTGACATAAGGTCACTAGTCCTAGCCACTGGAACAAGAAGGGATGTCCTCAGGAGATTTAGGCTCCATATATCCACCTTCCCTAGGGAAAGCCTCCCTAGTGCCCTCCCTAGAGAGAGAAGAGGTTTGAGAGGGCTATCTCAATGCCACGACACACCCCCCTGCTGGGATGGCGTGTCAACATATATTTGTATATGTTATAGGCTAGATAGGTGCATGCTCATAGAGAATACAACACTTAAAACAAAACCATCTTGTATCACTCATTCTAGCAATTCGTTAACTCTGAAATGGTATCATGCGCTAGGTTAGGTCCTCCCCGCCCACCTGCGCTTCCGCTCTAGTCCTAGCCCTAGCCGCTCGTTGCTAGCCGCTCGCCGCGCACCGCCGCTGGCCGCCCGTTGCCTCGTGCTGCTCGTAGCCACCACCCGCTTGTAGCCGCTGGCCGCCCGTAGCCGCTAGCCCGTTGCCGTCGGCCGCCTTCGCCGCCAGCCGCCCGTAGCCCATCGCCGCCAGTCGCCTGCAGCTTGTCGGCGCCGCCAACCACCCGTGGCTGCCAACCGCCCGCCAGCCCTGCGCGTGCTGGCCCTGCACTTGCTGGCCCCGCACTCGCTGGCCTCGCACTCACCGGCCCCAGCTACACCTGCCACAATTTCGTCGGTCCCCGCCCGCGTCGCCGTGTCACTGAGCCGCTGAGCCGCTCTGCCGCCCCCGCGTCACCGTGTCGCTAAGGAATACTTAGATGCAGTCATTGCACGCTATTCCACTCCCTCCTCCGCGTCTGCCGGCCGTCTGATCATCCCCATGCTATTTCTTGATCATGCGTCCTTCCCCCACTGTCGCTTACCTTGTCACCCATCTCCACGCACTTGACACTACCTACCGCGCTGCTAGCGCTAAGGCACAGCTCACTGCTAGAGGGTTCTCGTTCAGGGGGTGCTGGTTTTGGGGCGCTCTTCCTAGGGTTACTATCGTGGCTTGTCCTGGCGGTCCTGGGGGTGGCTCCAGTACTTGAGAGGGTTCTCGTTTTGGGAGTATTAGCGTGGAGCATCCCGGAGGTAGCCGTGGTATAGCTGGAGGTTCTAGTGTCAGCGCAGAGTAGCCACAGCAGTAGCAGTCACCACCGGTGTCCGCCCTTTGCCTCCTCGGTCTTCCCTCCCTGAGCACCCGCCTGCACCTCCCCCACCGCCGCCTCCCCTGCCTGTCTATGGCCCTGTTTTTCCTCCGTCGGACTCGTCTTCGTCTCACTTCCCCCCTCGTTCTCCTCCTGTTTCTCCACCCTTGTCTCCTGACCGAACCCCACCCTCCCGTTCGTGGTCGCGCCATTCCTCCCGTGCTCGTCCTATCTGTCTCTCCTTCTCTACATTCTCACCCGATATTGCTTCGTTCCCATGCGTCTCGTCCTCCCCTCCTCCCGTCGCCTCCTCCGTCATCGCTTGTTGTCGCTCCGCCTCCTCTGTCTGAATTCCTTCGTACCGCTAGTCCTCTTGATCCTCAGGTCCTTGCCTCCCTCGTTACCGACCCGTCTGTTCCTGTCTCCATTCTGGATGCTCTTGTCGCTGCTGTCGCAGACTTCACCTCTACCCACCGCCTTGACTACGCCACTGCTCTAGTCTCTAACCATGCCCGTCCTCCATCCATTGGGGGTGCTCCTACCCTCGGCAGTGGCGTCATAGAGGACTGGCAGTACGAGCTCGCTTTCCTGTCCGAGGCCGCTCCTCATCTCTGCTCCTTGCTGCTAGTCCCTGAGGGTGACCCAGATGCCCTTGACTTCCCGACCGCTCGCACTTACGCTGAGGCGACCTCGGGACCCTGGGCCTCTCAATAGATGGCTCCCATGGACGTGGAGATGGCATCTTCGAGATCCACCGACACCTACGTCGACGCAGTTCCCCCACCTAAGGTGAACTTACTCGATGGCAAGTGGCCCTTCAAGGTGAAGCACCCTTTTGGAGAGCCACCGGTGTTCAAGGCGCGCTACATGGCTAGAGGCTTCAGTCAGCGCGAGGGTGTTGATTTCTTTCTGACCTTCGCCCCGACCCCAAAGATGACCACTCTTCTGGCGCTCGTACACACAGCAATAGAACTGCACTCCTTCGACTTCTCTACGGCGTTTCTTCATGGCAGTCGGCTCGAGCAAATTTACCTGCGCATCCGCCCGGCTTCACGGGCACCTTCGCCTCTGGGACCCAGTGGCTCCTTCGGCACCCGGTCTACGGCATGAGGCAGGCACCCCGTGAGTGGTAATACACGTTGCGTGCTACGTTAGCTGAGCTGCAGTTCTTCCCGTCGTCTGCAGACGCCTCTCTCTTTGTTCGTTCAGACCAGACCCCGTTCTACATTCTTCTCTACATAGACGACCTCGTCTTCGCTAACGCACTAACCTCCATGAAGGTTGAGCTGCTGAGGAGACACACCTGCACTGACCTAGGAGAGCTGCGCCACTACCTTGGCCTGCAGATCTCCAACGATAGTGCAGCGCGCACGATCACTAGTCTTACTTGGTGCGCCAGGTCCTTCAGAGGTTCGTCCTTCAGTTCTCCTCCGCACAGCCCACACCTTTGCCAGTAGATTACAGGCTCTTGGCTCCATTCCCTGAGGAGTCAGTAGAGCCTAGTGGTCCTTACGTAGAGCTGGTGGGTTGCCTCATGTACCTGATGACTTGCACTCGTCTAGATCTCGCATATCCTCTCAGCATCCTGGCTCGCCTTATGGCCACAACCAAACACCGACCACAGAACTGGTCGGCAGCTATGACGGATTTGCGTTATCTAGCAAGTACATCGGCTATGGGGCTAGTGCTAGGAGGAAGTAGGCTAGTGGTCCTTACAGGGCATACAGACGCTTCATGCGCAGACGGCGCTGAGATGCTCAGGTCCTCCCAGGGCTACTACTGTAACCTTGGTGCAGGCGCGATCTCGTGGTGGTCCACCCGCTCGTCGTCTTTTGCATAGTCTAGCTGTGAGGCTGAGATCTACGCCGGTGCCATAGCGGTAGTGGAGCTCCACTGCTGACCTTCTTGGTCACAGACTTAGGTGAGCGGCCTAGCTCTGCCCCGGTCATGTACGCTGACAACAGGGCCATGATCCTCCTGTGTCAGAAGCCTCGGCTGGAGGGCAAAGCGAAGCACATCCAGCTGCGGTACCTCCTCCTATGCGAGCTACGGCAGCGCCAGACCCGCATAGTTCACTTGGCCTCTGGTGCCAATACAGCTGATATCTTTACTAAGGCATTTGCACATAAAGATTATCAGCGACACTGTGTACAGCTTGGCCTAGTTCTTGTAGCTTCTTACTTGCTATGACATTAATTATTTACTACATCTTATATTATCTTGACTAGCCCTGTTGATCCTGTTCTAGTGGCTGGACGAGTAGTGCCGCGTTGTTGCTCTTGTTTCCTTTGTACACTTTCAGACTGGACTTCAGACCCTTGCCTTAGTGGTTGGACTAGTAGTGCCACCCTGAGCTGCGTGTCTCGTGCTAGTCGTTGCCCGTTGTCTAGCCTAGGGGGTGTGTCAATTTATATTTGTATATGTTATAGGCTAGATAGGTGCATGCTCATAGAGTATACAACACTTGGGACAAAACCACATTGTATTAGTCATTCTAGCCGTTTGTGAACTGAAAGATAGCGTGTACACCGGGAATTGAACCGTGGATCGCTTTGATACCATCTCATTAAATCATCAGTCCTAACCATTAGGACATGAAGGGATGTCCTCATGAGAGTTAGGCTCCATATATCCACATTCCCCTGGGAAAGCCTCCCTAGTACCCTTCCTAGAGAGAGAAGAGGTTCGACAGGGCTATCCCAGTGCCACGACACGTGCGCCCACAACCCCTCAAGCTCTGCACCTTTGGCCCTTCCCCGAGGATCTTCTCAAGGGCAACCCCAGCGGGTCTCTCGACACCATTTGCTGAACACTACGTGCCGCTAGGCTTCTTGCATTAAAATACTGTTGGAAGTTATCAAACCGTCACTAGTTTAAATTGCTTGAACAATGTCTATCGTAAACAATATATGGTGTTACCTCTGGATGGAAACAACATGATGGTCGGATGGCAAATGATTTTGATAATTAATTCAAGACTGAACATGCAATTATCTGATTAGAATGTGGCTTCAAATTGCCTTCATGGCACTAACAAAGGAAATCAGTGCAGCACTGAATTTTTAGCCCTGGTTTCATTACGACAATACTTTGTTTGGCAAAAGGGGAAGTACTTAATTCATGTCAGCTATCAGGTGTACCAAGCTACAGAACAGCCTGTTGGTTTGGTACTTATCCTGAGCCGCGGGAGTACCCCCGACGAATCAGGCTTGGCGGGGGCGCAGTGTTTTGGGGTTCTGTCGTGCAGCTGCGGCGCAATCCACCTCCGCCGTTAGCGGTTAGTTGGGTTTGGTGGTGGCGAACTACCATCAAAACTCCGACGTGTGAAGCAACATTTCCCCCACTTCACCCCACCTTCCCCTCTGGCACTCGGTCCTCCCCCATTCTTGCTTGTTGGTCTTCCAAATCCCCACATTTCGGGTAGCCATTTCAGTTCCTTACTCCAAGCACAGCCCAACATTCCTGGACAGAACCTTGATCCGACGCCATGGTTAGTGCATCTCCTACTTGTTGGCTGCATTCGCCGTTTTCTGCCTTCGCGAAATTTGTGACTAACGGCTTTGTTAATGGCTCGTTGTACAGGCGAACGCTCGCTCTGGTATGGCGGTGTCAAAAGAGTGCCTGGATAAGTTTCACGATCTTCAGAAGTCCCGTACTTACCGCTTCATTACCTACAAGATTGAGAAGGACGAGATCGTAGTGGACACTTTTGGAGAACCCAGCAAGACCTACGCTGACTTCTCAGCCGCTCTTCCCGAGAAAGACTGCCGCTATGCGGTTTTCGACTACGAGTTTGTTACAGACGACAACTGCCACAAGAGCAAGATTTTCTTCATCGCTTGGTAAACCCTTTTCGATGTTGAGGTCTATCACATTCTCGCGGAGTGTCATCTGCTTCTGGTCCTTATTTCTGATCGTTTTTTTGTTTCTCGTCACAGGTCTCCTGACACATCACCTATTAAGAACAAGATGATTTACGCCAGCTCGAAGGATACATTCCGCCAGCAGCTTTCTGGTGTGCAAATTGAGCTTCAGGCAACTGATGCGTCTGAAATGGACATTTCCATTATCAAGGATAAAGCCTCGAGGTGAAATTTATCGGCGGTCTAGATCGCCTAGGACTAGCATTTTCTTGCCCTCCTGTTTGCACTGAGCGATTTCTCTCCTAGACTTGGCTTAGACCGTGGTGGACCTGTCTTGGTTTCAGAAATGTTATTGGTATATTTTAATGTTGTGGAAGTTTGAGTTCACGTAGTAGCTAGCCGAGTATATGGCATGAGGTGACAGTGATGTGTTTCACTGAGAACCTGAGGCAAAACGGAAACCATGCTTTTTGTGATTTCGCTCAGGGTTTACACGCATTTTGGACACACAACTCTACCTTTCCCTCCACAGCAAGAACATCCACTTTTCTGCTCCGACACTACAGATGTCCCATGTGGAAGAGGCTTGGGTGGCTCCAGTGACGGAGTTCCTAAAGCTGGCAGCTGAAACATGCTTGCTTGCTTGTTGCACTTGGTGCACGGCAAAAAGCCAACTCCCCCACATTCCTCGCAGATGCAAAGATTCCTGAAATGTTGAAGCACACAAGAGGTGACGTAGGTATGCTGTCCCGAGGGAGAAACCCATGCAGAAAAGCCCAAACATGAAAGCTTAAAAAGAAAAACTACCAGTAAAGGGTAATGTGTATGCATTGTGCAGCCACAGGGTGAGCTTAGGAGGTTGCACCATTCGGTAAAACATAGACAATCACCTCACGCCTTTCGCCTTCACTCACATGTCAAGTCTTTTGCCTTTCGTCTGAAAATTAAAATCTCAACCCCAAGCATTCTCACCGCCGTTGAGCGCGGGCAATCCACTGGTCGACGCGTGGCGCGCTAGCCGCACACGCGATGATGGCGGCACCGAAGACGAGCCCCGCGATCTCGCTCTCCGTAAACGGCTGCAGCCACAGCAGCGTCGCCCCTATATCCGCCAAGCGTGATATGTCCACAGCGAAGTTGTCTGGCTGGAGAGAGGCTACGTGTCCGTGCAGGGACAGGGAGTCCGCCACGCCTGGACTAACGGCTTCAAGGTGAGCCGGTAGGTCTAGATGGAGCGAAGGCGGAGCTGGTAACGATGCGGCTGACGAGAGCAGCGACTTGAGAGGAGGAGCGAGAGACATCGCACGTGATGCAGGCGGCAAGGCGTGCGATAGAAGAGTTGTCGCGGGAAGGACGGCGAGAATCGCCATTGCTGCAGTGCTCGCACAGGCACCTGGCAGGTGCACACAGCGTGCGCGGGTGATGATGGAAGATGGACGGTCGAGATAGTCTAGGTCAGTGAGTCCTCAGGAGGAGCTGATGAGGGGGGAGAGGAAAAGGGAATTTTCATGGGTACAGTCAATAATCAAAATCTGCTCAAGGTGTAGGTCGAAATTTTTGGACGGAGAAACGAGTCCAGCTGACCTCAGTAACGCGTACCAAAAGCCCTCCAACCCTTCATATCGTGGAACCCCCCACTCCATCTGATACCCCACCCCAATTCTTCCACCAGTCCTGTGGGATTTCCTGTCAGAATTTCTCACACCATCCCTCAATCGAAGGGTTGCCCATGCTTCAGCCTGGCGTCGCGGTGCTACGGCAGCACCAGCTTCCTAACGTCGCATCCGCCGTCAGCAGCGCCATGAGTGTCGTCAGCAGCGCGAGGGGTGTCGTCAGCACCGTCTCCCGTCGCACCCTCAGATCTCCTGCTCGCCGATCGTTTGTCTCCGTGCCTGCTCGCACTGCTCGCGCACCCGTGACCGCGATGGCCACTGCTCGTTCCTCCTGTTCCCTGCGAAGCGAACCGCAACTAGCCCACGCGAACCAGCGGCAATGGGGAACGGTACGCAAACAAGCGATGCGCGAATCGCGGCGACCAAGACCATGTGTAGTTAAAGCGGCTGGCGAGCAGGAAAGCGGGAGCGGTGGCATGACGAGAGGAGGGGAGACGAGTGGAGTAATAACCGAGGCCCGGGAGGGGGTTGGGGCGGAAGGAGGGCTGCCAGCTGTTGGCTCGGGACGGCGAAGCAGGCGCCGAAGCAGAGCCGGAGGTTCGGATGATACCGGTTCGGGGAAAGAGGAACGGCGAGGAGCAGGGAATCCGGGCAAGGAGGGAAGCGCTGGCCGGCGAAAGTGGCTGCCGAAGGAGCCTGAAGCCGTGCGAGAGGTGAAGGCTGATGATCGAACGGCTGTGAGACAACAGGAAAAGACGGATCAACGGTCAGGATGGAAGGCTGCTCAAGAGCCGCTCGAGCCTGCGACACTTGGCGAAAATGATGCGGAATTTGGGGAAAGAGGCGGAAGCGGAAGTGGAGAGGCCGAGAGGGAGACACCAGATGCAGCTGAATATAGGCGCATGGAGCGAAGCTTCGGAGAAAGAGCGCAGGAGATGGATCCGGAGGAGATTAGGCTGGCGAGGCAGCGGGTGGCCGATCTGATTAGAGCAGGGGATGACGTGGAACAGGTGAGGGATGACGTGGCACAGTCTTCAATATCTCGTTCAGTATTACAGAAAGGTTTACCCAACATCTTGAAGCTGGTAAGGACAATTCCAGTCAACCGCACCAGCCGTTTCCCCCCTCTTGTCGGGGACCCTGGGTTCGTGCGTGCAGGAGATCGTGCGCATGGGCAGGGAGGGCTTTTTGACCGACACCCTCATCCTCGTCATTCAGAACCGACTCAACTTCGCCCGGCACGACGTGAGTGGTGCCGTGGGGGGGACGTGGATGGATGTGTGCTGGCGGCAACGAGTCGGAGAAAATAATAGCATCATTCAACAGCAAGTGCCATTCAACAGCACGTGCCTGCCATTTGTGTTGAGCTAACCCTCGCGCTTCCGCCTGTCGTCACCTCATTGTGGATTCTTCACCTTTGCTTTCGTCACCTCTCCTCGTTCCGTCTGTGTTGCGTCCTGTGCTGCTGATGCGAGCAGAACGAGCGCCACGTGGTGCAATGCCTCGACCTCTTGCTGCGCCGCATCGAGGTCAGCCTCTCCCCCTGCCCCCCTGCTCCTCAGACCTTTGCTCCCCTGCTCCTCAGACCTTTGCTCCCCTGCTCCTCAGACCTTTGCTCCCCTGCTCCCCAGACCTTTGCTCCCCTGCTCCCCAGACCTTTGCTCCCCTGCTCCCCAGACCTTTGCTCCCCTGCTCTCCAGCTCCACTGCTCTCCAGATCTCTTACCTATGCCATGCCATTCGATGCCATGTCTCCTACCCTGCTTGTCACCCATGCCATGCCATCCCCTGCCCTGATACTCCACCTCACCTCGCCCACCCTTACGGAGAGAGAGGGGCACAGAAAGCCACATTCAAGACCGCTCGAAGCACAGGCACTGCATTGTCTCCGTATTGCACCTCTTCCTCTTCCTCCCCCAGGCAGAGAGAGAGGCACAAGAAGCCACGCCAGCCTTGCGACTCCTTAACACTCTCCTGCACCTTGCTGATGACCTCAGCGCTGACATCAGCACATCAGGCTACGACCAATGGCAGCGCGAGGCGCGCGATGCGATGAGAGCGGTGTTTCTGCCGGAGGATCCTTTCACCGTGGCCATGCCCGTGGCCAATGGCATGGGTGCTCCAACTTGGGTACGTGGGTGGCATTATGGCTCTGTGAGCTACCTGAAAGACCTTCACATTGATTGTTTGTTTCAAAAGATACCTCTCCCTGCCATCGCTTTCCCTCCTCACGATTTATACTCTTTTGCCTTTTCTTCCTTACCACTGCTCATTTGCATTGCACTTGCCTCGTTTCCTTTGTCCCTGTTCAGAATGAAATGGACGCTAAGGCTGACTTGGGCTCAAGCATGGGTGGTGGTGAGAGCACTCTCCTTCGGATCGACTTTATTCGCGAGCTCGAGGAGCTTCTGGAAATCGTTGAAGCGGATGCTGCAGCTGCTGCTCAGTTTGTCGCTGAATCATTGAACTTGTCACTTGACCCGCAACAAGTCGAAGCCGAGGGCAGTGCCGCCAATGTTGAGCAAGATGGGGGGTCGTGGGGTGATTTAGATGCTGATAAAGTGGCGTTGAAACTGAGGCTAGAGGAGCGTCTGCGGATCATCAGTCGAGTTAGAGACCTCCAACACATAGCAGCCACTTTGAACTTGTAGAACTAACCATACTTAGCCTATATGGTATACTGGTGTTTTCCTACAAATTAACCGAATATGCAAAATCGTTTATCTCGATAATCCAATGTGTGAGTTGTGTCGGTGCTCCACAGTGGCGGCATCCTGTGCTGATCCTCTATCCACCACTGTAGTGCCGTCCGTTGGTACTGTACCCTCGTCTCACATCTCGACTTGACTGGATCTTGGGAACGCCGAACTTGGTTTCCCCCACCTCCCACCGCTTTGCACCATGCCACCTTGACCACTGTGCGAAGAGCAGGTGGTGGGGAAATATTATCGCTCAGGCATGTGTGATTACCGTGACTGAATAATCAAGGATGAAAGCACAAATTTCTCTTCGTCAACAATCTTTCGCAAACGGCTGGAGGCTGCTCGCCACGCCAAATGTCCAGCTTTGATGGTGGGGGGTTGAGTGAGCGAATGAGGGACCAAGTTGCTTGGCTTGGCAGCGGCACCCAGTTCTGTCTCCTCTGCTTCTCCCACTGGCGTTTGCCCGCTCCACACGAAAACTGTCATGGCTTCGTGTTTCGTCCTCGTTCTGTCAGTAGCGGAGAATGTCTTTACCAGGACCGACCACAGCACGTAACCAATCTGAGCTTGACAGTCGAGCCGCCAGTGGTATTACAGTAAAAAGAATGTATGACGGTTAGCCTCTGTATTCTCGGATTTATGTTTGCGTAGTAGCCCGTTTCGCGTTTTTAACACGATTGTCGTCAGGCTCGTCGAGCTTAGTAGTTCAGATACAACGATTCGCTATGGCCGACAAGCGGAAGAAGAAGTGTGCACTACCCACCGTCCCTCATTTCGTCATTGTCCTCCTCGCTATTAGTACACTAGAATATCCACCCTTCGCCAGCGCGTTCAACCGTGACACTTACTTCCAACATTCGCGCCAAGGCTGGGCCTCTGACAGCATCGGGAAGCTCGCGACTAATAGAGATAGCATCTCCGCGACACCTCATAGCAGCGAGGGCTTGACGTCGACTACCCGTAGCCATGGCGTGAGGCACGATCTGCTCGAGCGACCAGCGACGCTTGCTGTGTCAGGAGCGCCGCCTCGACGAACGCCGGTTACGCTCGACCCATCGCAGCGTGAGTGCTGACCTCGGTCTAGGAGTATCCCAATCGCCTGATCTAGGACCATCTGCGTCCCTCTTGATTCGCCCTTCGCCACAGACGCTCAGACGCCGCTACCCTTCGCTACAGACGCTCAGACGCCGCTACCCTTCGCTACAGATGCTCAGAAGCCCTTCGATGAAGTGTTTGAGAAAAGCCGTCGCGCTCTCATGATTGAACTCGAAACCTTCCAGTTCTCCGTCTGGCCATTGACCCTCTTCCCGTGCAGTGACCGCCCTGTTGGCTCTGAATGCCGCGTGGCGCCTGTGGCCGGGTAACGGCGGAAGGTCGACGGCGTGCCAGCAGTGGGCCGGCGTCAAGTGCAACCTGCAGGGCATGGTGACTGCGCTGTGAGTGCGCTGCATGGTTCCGTACTGAATACTCTGCTCATGAGTCGACTCAAAGGTGTGAGTGCGAGGCATGGTGACAGCGCTGTGAGTGCGAGGCATGGTGACAGCGCTGTGAGTGCGCGAGGCATGGTCACTGCGCTGTGACGGTGCAGCCTATTTCTATCCTCCTTTTATGCATTGCTGGGATGTTTTGCCTCATACCCTCCCCACGCGTCTTTCTCATCTTTACGCCCCCTTCCTCTCTCCTGCGTTCTGCAGGGTGTGGGATGGGAGCATTGCGCCTACACCCATCGAAACACCCATTCCTGCCGCCATTGGCGCGTTCACTGCGCTTTCCATACTGTGAGCCATAGCGAGGAGAAGTGCACTCAGAGTCAGCCCTTACACTGTCTCCTACCACCCTCTCTATACTGTCAGCCCTTACACTGTCTCCTACCACCCTCTCTATACTGTCAGCCCTTACACTGTCTCCTACCACCCTCTCTATACTGTCAGCCCTTACACTGTCTCCTACCACCCTCTCTATACTGTCAGCCCTTACACTGTCTCCTACCACCCTCTCTATACTGTCAGCCCTTACACTGTCTCCTACCACCCTCTCTATACTGTCAGCCCTTACACTGTCTCCTACCACCCTCTCTATACTGTCAGCCCTTACACTGTCTCCTACCACCCTCTCTATACTGTCAGCCCTTACACTGTCTCCTACCACCCTCTCTATACTGTCAGCCCTTACACTGTCTCCTACCACCCTCTCTATACTGTCAGCCCTTACACTGTCTCCTACCACCCTCTCTATACTGTCAGCCCTTACACTGTCTCCTACCACCCTCTCTATACTGTCAGCCCTTACACTGTCTCCTACCACCCTCTCTATACTGTCAGCCCTTACACTGTCTCCTACCACCCTCTCTATACTGTCAGCCCTTACACTGTCTCCTACCACCCTCTCTATACTGTCAGCCCTTACACTGTCTCCTACCGCCCTCTCTATACTGTGAGCCCTTACACTGTCTCCTAGCGCCCTCTCCATACTGTGAGCTTTAACAATGTCTCCTACCTACTGCCCTCGCCATACTGTGAGCTTTAGCGCGGAATGCAGAGAGAGTGAGGTTTAACACTGTCTCCTACTGTCCGTCCGGTACTGGAATCCGTCGCACCAACCACCTACTGTCCGTCCGGTACTGGAATCCGTCGCACCAACCACCTACTGTCCGTCGGGTACTGGAATCCGTCGCTCCAACCAAGTGCTCGTGCAGTCAACGTTAACACGGTGCTCACTCCGTGGCATGGGCCCATCAATCCATCCATCCATCCATCCATCCATCCATACCGCCACTCTCACATACATAGAATGTGTGCATGCTTGTTTGTGTGTGTGGAGAGGGTGAGGTGAGGATTGAGATGCGTGCATGCGTGCTGGGTGCATCGGTTTGTGCTGTGTGTCCTGTGTGCAATGTGCATCCGTGTGTGCAGTGTGCATCCGTGTGTGCAATGTGCATCCGTGTGTGCAGTGTGCATCCGTGTGTGCAATGTGCATCCGTGTGTGCAACGTGCATCCCTGTGTGCAACGTGCATTCGTGTGTGCTTGCTGGATGGGGGGAGGAGGTGGTGGGTCGGCGTGTGGTATCGATCTATCTATCTATCTATCTATCTATCTATCTATTCATCTATATCTATCTATCTATCTATCTATCTAATCTATCTATCTATCTATCTGTCTGTCTGTCTGTCTGTCTGTCTGTCTGTCTGTCTGTCTGTCTGTCTGTCTGTCTGTCTGTCTGTCTGTCTGTCTGTCTGTCTGTCTGTCTGTCTGTCTGTCTGTCTGTCTGTCTGTCTGTCTGTCTGTCTGTCTGTCTGTCTGTCTGTCTGTCTGTCTGTCTGTCTGTCTGTCTGTCTGTCTGTCTGTCTGTCTGTCTGTCTGTCTATCTGTCTATCTGTCTATCTGTCTATTTTTCTATCTTTCTATCTATCTATCTATCTATCTATCTATCTATCTATCTATCTATCTATCTATCTATCTATCTATCTATCTATCTATCTATCTATCTATCTATCTATCTATCTATCTATCTATCTATCTATCTATCTATCTATCTATCTATCTATCGATCCCTGTACCCATCCAGGGACCTCTCCTACAACGTCATCAATGGCTCCATTCCAGTGCGCGCCTTCCAGCAGCTCAGGCAGCTGCGGATACTGTGAGCCAGCCACGCACCTTCACACACCTTTATGCTCCGTCACACACCTTCACGCACGCTAGGAGCATCTCTGCTTCCTTCCCAGTTCAAGTAGTTTGTTGATGTCAACTTGAAGCTGTACAAAGGAAGGAGGCGTGCCATAGGGCCGTCTATTTCAACCCAGCTGTAAGAAGAAGAAGCATTTGAGGCGTTGAAGGCTGCACCATTCCCCCTACCACTTTGAGTCTCCCTGCCCCACTCTTTCGCCTCTCTCTCCCTGCCCTTCTCTCCCTGCCCCACTCTCCCTACCTCACTCCCCCTGCCCTTCTCGCCCTGCCAGGGATCTGGCTGAAAATCAGCTCATTCCGCCCTTTCCTGCCCACGCGTTGCAGCACATGACGGGACTTCGAGTGCTGTGAGTGGTGTGAGTGCTGTGAGTGCTGTGAGTGGTGTGAGTGCTGTGAGTGCTGTGAGTGCTGTGAGTGCTGTGAGTGCTGTGAGTGCTGTGAGTGCTGTGAGTGCTGTGAGTGCTGTGAGTGCTGTGAGTGCTGTGCGTGGTGTGAGTGCTGCGAGTGGTGTGAGTGCTGTGCGTGGTGTGAGTGCTGCGAATGGTGTGAGTGCTGTGAGTGGCGTGAGTGGTGTGTGTGCTGTGAGTGCTGTGAGTGGTGTGAGTGCTGCGAGTGCTGTGAGTGCTGTGAGTGCTGTGAGTGGCGTGAGTGGTGTGAGTGCTGTGAGTTCTGTGAGTGGTGTTAGTGGTGTGAGTGCTGTGATTTCTGTGAGTGGCGCGATTGCTGTGAGTGGTGTGAGTGGCGTGCTGTTCTTGACGCGTCTCAGAAGTGATCGCAGCACATAACAGGGCTGCGAGTGCTGTGAGTGGTTTGTGTGGCGTGCTGCTCATGTTTACAGCGTTTTTTGCAGCATAAGTTACAACGATCAAATTAGCACAACCATCCAAACGCCCTACTCCTTCATCCCTCCTTTCCAGGAACCTGCGCTGTGCAGAGTTCGAACTAAACACCACGCTCGAAATTCTTGGCTACTCACCGTCCCTCCAATACGTGTACAGTGCACACACACGTACCTTTGCTCCATGCTGCTTTTGTCGCTCCCTCCCTCTTTCAGATACCTGTTTTCCCCTCGCTCACTCGGCATCAGAATCTGCCTTTTTTCTCCATGGTTTCACGCCTCGTAGCCGTAGGACTTGCACCAGCCGTTTCCATCTTCGCTCCTCCTGCGATGAACCATCCTTTGCTCACCTTCCCTTACCCGTTTCAGGGCTGCTCCTCATTTTCTCACCTGTCCGTCTCGTTATGAGACCCGCCTACCCACCTCTGCTTCCACGCACCAGTGACCTCACAAGGACCAGAGCTACTGGCGCCCTCCCTCCTTCACTCGCTGCTGCCTCCAATCTCACATACCTGTGCGTGCAATCTCACTCACCTCATTGTGTCAATCGGCTCCCACATTGTTTCTACCTAGCGCACTCATCCGTCTGCTCACTTCGCCTGCATGGTAACAACAAAGTGGTAACCATCTGAAACACCCCCCCCACAAATGCCCTCCCCTCCAATTGATATCACCTTGGGCATTGTTCATCTCCGTTACACAGGGATCGGTCGAAGAACAAGCTTACAAGGAACGTCGTCAGCGTGGTCACCAGCAATCTTATCTCCTGTTCCTGCCTCCCTTATTGGCATCCTCGTCATGCAGGGACCTGTCAGACACTGACCCCTCAGGGAATGTCATGGGTGTGGTCAGCAAGCTCACCTCCCTTACCTTCCTGTGAGCCCCCTCCTTATTGGCTAGCCATCTCGTTTTCCTGCACTCATGCAAGTGATGAAGTGTGTTTGTGTGTGTGTGTATGCGTGTGTATGTGTGTGTGTGTGTGAGGGAGAGAGAGAGAGAGAGTGTGTGAGTGTTTGTGAGTGTGTGTGTGAGAGTGTGTGAGTGTGTGTCTGTGTGTGTGTGTGTGTTGCAAAATCCCCTTCCTTCTTCTGCTGTCACGCCTCATCTCCTCTTCTCTTGCCGCTGCTGCCTTCCCGTGCACCGTCCACCTGCGTCCACCGTCCACCGTCCACCGGCGTCCACCGTCCACCGTCCACGGCATCCACTCCACCGTCCACCGTCCACCAGCGTCCACCGTCCACCGGCGTCCACCGTCCACCATCCACCGGCGTCCACCGTCCACCGTCTACCGGCGTCCACTGGCCACCGGCGTCCACCGTCCACCGTCCACCGGCGTCCACCAGCGTCCAGCGTCCAGCGTCCACCGTCCACCGTCCACCGTCTACCGGCGTCCACCGGTGGACGCCGTCCACCATCCTCCGTGCATCGGCGTCCACCATCCACCGTCCACCGGCGTCCACTGTCCACCGGCGTCCACCGTCCACCGTCCACCTTCCACCAGCGTCCACCCGTGGACGCCGTCCACCGTCCACCGTCCACCGGCGTCCACCGTCCACCGTCCACCGGCGCCCACCGGTGGACGCCGTCCACCGTCCACCGGCATCCACCGTTGGACGCTGTCCACCGCCCACCGTCCACTGGCGTGCACCGTTGGACGCCGTCCACCCGTCCACCGTCCACTGGTGGACGCTGTCCACCCCCCGTTGTCCACCGGCGTCCACCGTCCACCGTCCACCGGCGTCCAGCGTCCACTGGTGGTCGCCGTCCACCGTCCACGGACCACCGGTGTCCACTGTCCACCGGTGTCCACCGTCCACCGTCCACCGGCGTCCAGTCTTCCGCTCCTGCTACTGCCAAACTCCCCTGCTGAGCACTCCCCTTCCTTCACTGCCCCTACTCCATCCCTTTCCCCACCTCACCTCCCTTCCTACTTCGCTTTACTTCTTTCCTCTCACCCCTCTCCTCGCTCACCCCTCTCCTCTCTCACCCCCTCCCTCACTGCAGCACCATCAAGCATGCCTACGACCTCAAGGGGAGCTTCTCCTCCTTCCCCCTCTCGTGCCTCTCCATCTTGTGTGATCATAATCGAGATTTGAGGCGTCTCAAACCCCTCTTCTCCCTTGCCCCTCTCGTCTCGCCCCCCTCCGTGACTGCAGTGCCATCAAGCAGGCCTATAACCTCATGGGGGACTTCACGTCCTTCTCCTCCCTCTCGAGCATCTCCAGCCTGCAACAGCTGTATGTGCTTTAGAGCCAACTTGCAACGGCTGTACGCGCCTTAATGTCAACGTAAAGACCAAGCTTCGACTGCATCAGCCTTTCTCGCTGGGCAAACCCCCGATTTACCATAACACACAGCAGGCAGGCAAACAGCTCTGCACCACATACTGGCTTGTGTGTGCTGTGTGCGCTGCTGTGTGCTCTGCTGTGTGCTCTGCTGTGTGCTCTGCTGTGTGCTCTGCTGTGTGCTGTGTGCTCTGCTGTGTGCTCTGCTGTGTGCTCTGCTGTGTGCTGTGTGCTCTGCTGTGTGCTGTGTGCTCTGCTGTGTGCTGTGTGCTCTGCTGTGTGCTGTGTGCTCTGCTGTGTGCTGTGTGCTCTGCTGTGTGCTCTGCTGTGTGCTCTGCTGTGTGCTCTGCTGTGTGCTCTGCTGTGTGCTCTGCTGTGTGCTGTGTGCTCTGCTGTGCTCTGTCTGCTATGGCTGACCTGATGCGCGGTGTGCTGTGTGCGTGTGACATGCAAATTGGTCCAGGGAGCTGAAATCTCTGCACAACGTGACAGGCCAGCTTCAAGACATGACCTTCCTCACCTTGCTGTCTAATTTGCGACATCTGTACGTCTCTCCACCCCCCCCCACCTGCACTCCCTATCTTCCCTCCTCGTCTCTTCTCTCTCTCCTAAATCCTGTCCTCCATTCTGCAAATTCCACTTTCTCCCGCCATCTGCTACCATCACCAGCCTGTGTCTCATCATCCCCCCTCCCCTTGGGCCTTCCTCGCGCCTGTCATTCCTTCTTCCTCGTTTCCTTTCTTGCCGACATGCATTTGGGGGGGGGGGAGGGGGGAGACAGCACCTTTTCTCCCTTTGCTTCCACATTCCTTCTTGCGGCACTCTGCACCCTCCACCACCAGGGAGTTTGCTGACATGCGCGTGGAGGGGGAGCTTCCTGCCACCCTCATTCTGCTCGACAAGCTCACCTTCCTGTCAGCCTCGCACTCCCTGCCGTGCCTTCCTTGGCTTTTCCCTGTCCCCCATGCCCCGTTCCCCGCTCATTGCTCGAGGCACCTTGGCTTAGCACCGGTGAAGGCCCGAACCACTTGAGCACTGCAAACCTGATCCGCTACCCGTATCCTTACCCTTGCCCTGACCCGTGTGGCTGCACTGCACTGCAGGGACCTGAGCTACCTCTACTTCAACAACGTGCCTCTCTGGCTCGCATCGTTCACCAACCTCCGCCATCTGTAAGCCACGCTCACCAACCTCCGCCATCTGTAAGCCATGCTCACCAACCTCCGCCATCTGTAAGCCACACTCACCAACCTCCGCCATCTGTAATCCACGCCACACCATTCACCACCCATCTCTTCTCCTGCTCGCCCTGCTGGCCCTGGCCCCGTGCCACAGGACCCACCACACCATTTACCTCCCATCTCTTCTCCTGCTCGCCCTGCTGGCCCTGGCCCCGTGCCACAGGACCCACCACACCATTCACCACCCATCTCTTCTCCTGCTCGCCCTGCTCCCCTCCCCTCCCCTTCCCCCCCCCCCTGTCACTGCTGCCAGCATCCTCCCGGACATGAGGAATCTGCGCTCAGGCCCCGTGCCGCAGGACCTCTCCAGGCTCGTGCACCTTGAGGAGTTGTGAGTGCCGCATGTGCCTCCCCTCTCGAATCCCGCATGTGCCTCCCTCCCCTCTCCAGCCCTGCCGGTGCCTCCCTCCCTTCTTGAGCCCCGCATATGCCTCCCCTCTCCAGCCCCGCTTTAGCCTCCCTCCCTTCTCGAGTTCCTCAGTCAGATGTCTCGTTGTGCTGCCAGCCCCGCATCTCCCTTGGCTCTTCCCTTGATTCCTGTTTGTCCATCTCCCGCGTTTATCCCACTGTCTCTCACTCTTGCCCTACCTGCCCATCACCCTTGCTCTCCCCCCCCTCTCCTCAAATTCCTGTGCCCATCTCTCCCTCGTTCATGCATGCCCAGTGGACACAACCACACACCCACCAACGCATATGTGCTGTCATGTCTCCACCTATGGTCCACCCGCCTGTGCCGTGCAGTGTGGCTACAGGAAATGGTCTGGTTGGTTTCCTTCCGGACTCGTGGGCCTCCCTCACCGCCCTCACGTCTCTGTGAGTCCCTCACCGCCCTCTCACATGGGACACGCCTTCGGCCCTCTCTCTTCTTGCACTTCTTGATGAGCCTCAGGAGCAGCAGGGTGTTGCTGATGAAAGCCTATTGCTGCCCAATCGAATCCACGTATTTCTCAACTTGATGAGCCTCAGGAGCAGCAGGGTGTTGCTGATGAAAGCCTATTGCTGGCCGAATCGAATCCACGTATTTCTCAACTTGATGAGCCTCAGGAGCAGCAGGGTGTTGCTGATGAAAGCCTATTGCTGGCCGAATCGAGTCCACGTATTTCTCAACTTGATGAGCCTCAGGAGCAGAAGGGTGTTGCTGATGAAAGCCTATTGCTGGCCGAATCGAATCCACGTATTTCTCAACTTGATGAGCCTTAGGAGCAGCAGGGTGTTGCCGCCACGGCCGTCATCTCTCAACGTCACTCTCTGTGTGGCCGTACCCTGTGTGTCCCCTGTGAACGAGCCAGGGACCTGCAGCAGAACGGCATTCTCGGCTCCATTCCAGCAAGCTTCTCCAAGCTCGAGAGCCTCACAAAGCTGTGAGTCATGCCTCGTGCCTTGCGAAGCTGTGAGTCCTCGCATTAGACCGCCCGCCCTCTTCTGAGGAGTGTATGACTGCGCCTGTGTTGTGCCATGTGTGTGCTGCATTCCGCACGCCTGCCTTGGGCCATGCCGTGATGTGTGTGCTGCATTCCGCACGCCTGCCTTGGGCCATGCCGTGATGTGTGTGCTGCATTCCGCACGCCTGCCTTGGGCCATGCCGTGATGTGTGTTCTGCATTCGGCACGCCTGTCTTGGGCCATGCCGTGATGTGTGTGCTGCATTCGGCACGCCTGTCTTGGGCCATGCCGTGATGTGAGTGCTGCATTCGGCACGCCTGTCTTGGGCCATGCCGTGATGTGTGTGCTGCATTCGGCACGCCTTTCTTGGGCCATGCCGTGATGTGTGTGCTGCATTCGGCACGCCTTTCTTGGGCCATGCCGTGATGTGTGTGCTGCATTCGGCACGCCTGTCTTGGGCCATGCCGTGATGTGTGTGCTGCATTCGGCACGCCTGTGCTGTGGCAAGTGCGTTGTGCATGGGGCAGGGATAGTTGCCGGAGTGAGTGGTATGCACGTGTCAGCTTTCATGAGTGTTAGTCTAGAGAGTCTTTCAATGGTGTCTTCTTTCCTTCTTTGGTGTCTTCTTTCCTTCTTTGGTGTCGTCTTTCCTTCTTTGGTGTCTTCTTTCCTTCTTTGGTGTCTTCTTTCCTTCTTTGGTGTCTTCTTTCCTTCTTAATCCTCTGCACTGCACGCATGCTTCCCTGCGCATCTCTCTCGTCAATGCAGGGATCTGTCGATAAATGAAATGAGCGGCTCACTGCCTGGCGTGTTCAGCCCAAGCCTCGAAGAACTGTGAGTGAGTGCATGGGGATCATTGTCCTCCCCTATGCTCCTCTCTCCCTCCCCGCAGCATCAGTGCCCCGGGTTTCATCCGTTCCTTCCTTCACCGTGTCATTCTCCGTGTTCGTGTCATGCGTGGCTGGAGGACCCCAAGCTAGTAATCCCGGTGCATTCGGGTCCCAAGGGTAGTGATTTCCCTGCATTCGGATCGGACCACTTCCTGTGGAGCTCCAGCCAGCAGCATCTCGTCTCGCGGCGCTGCTAAGAGTCTAGTTTAGAGGCGCCTCAAAACTAGTTCCCTGCATTCGGACCACCTCCTGTGGAGCTCCAGCCAGCAGCATCTCGTGGCGCTGCTTTCATTCCCCTCCCCGCCACCTGTCTCTCTATTGCGCAACCCTGTATCGAACTCTAGTGCCGCTCCCCTTTCTCCGCCTTGGTCCATCAGCAGAAGTGCCACTCAATCAGCCTGTATGCTAGATGCATTACCATCCAGTTGCCGCCCTCCCACCACACCACAGGATACTCAACGACAACAAGTTTGAGGGGTCTCTCCCTTCTGTGCTCGGAAACCTTCCATCTCTCTCCAATCTGTACGGTTTGCCTGCCCCTCCCTCCCTCCCTCCCTCCCTCCCCCCCTCCCTCCCTGCCTCTCTCCCTCCCTCCCCCCCTGCCCTTAAAACCTGAAATCCTGTGCCTTCTGACGTGACGTTCTGTCCAGCCGATTTTAGCAAGCTGTATCTGAAGCTGTGCGTGTTATCATCAGTGCATCCGTATAACGACTAAAGTGCACCAAGCTGGATAAGGAAGAAAAAAATGCTTTTCATCAATGTAAATCTCCACTGATTTGCTCCACTGCTCATTCTTTCAGTCACTCTGTATTCTTCTCCCCCCTTTCTCCGCCACTTCCTCTTCCCCCCGCCCCCCCTTCCCCTTTCCACGGGCTGTCTCCTGCCCTTTCGCAGTAAGCTCAACAGCAACCGCTTCACTGGAACCATTCCCAGGTCCTTCACAAAGCTCGAGGCCCTCACAGACGTGTAAGTCCCAGCAGCACCAACAGTTTGCTGCATTGCATGGTGTCGCACGGTGACCTGTATCACGCATGGTACAATGCCGGGCGCGTGCAGAGTGACACATCATTGCGCACTGAAGCTGCCTGCTCTGCTTTTATTTTATCATGCATGTGTGCTGTCGTGCATGCATGTGTGCTGCCATGCATGCATGTGTGCTGCCGTGTGCAGCATGCTGAGCTTCAACCAGCTGTCAGGAGGACTGGACGTCATCGCAAGCATGCCTCTCATCATCACCATGTGAGAGTGGTTACCATGTGAGAATGGTTACCATGTGAGAGTGGTTACCATGTGAGAGTGGTTACCATGTGAGAGTTGTCACCATGTGAGACAAGCCCCTCTTGCTCCCTCTCCCCTTCTTCTCTCCTGCTGCTAGAACCGCCACTGGCAGTGCCACTGACATTGGCTCTAACATCTTCTCAGGTAGGGTTGAGCAAAACGGGGTAATTACCTGACCCGACCCGGTTTTGCAATACCCGACCTCGGGTTGGGTATTTTCGGCCTTAGGGGACGGGTAATACAACACCCTCCTGTTGGGTCCGGGTATACCCGACCCGGTTACCCTGAATAGCGGGTATTACTACCCGCGACCTACTAGTGGGCCTCCTAAAAACGGGCTAGGCTATCTAGGGTTTCTGAAAACACGACTCCCAAATGAGTCGCGTTTTCTCGGGGGTCGAATTTTGACCGCCCAACTCCCTCCCTTTCACCGCACTGAACTCCTCCCCATCTACAAACTCCCAACATTTCCAACCAAACTCCCTCCCTTTCACCGCACTGTATTCCTCCTGTCTACAAACTCCAACATTTCCAACCAAACTCCCTCCCTTTCACCGCACTGAACTCCTCCCCATCTACAAACTCCAACCTTTCTCCAACTCTCTCCCTTTCACCGCACTTAACTCCTCCCCATCCACAAACTCCAACTTCTCCTCACAATGCTCCACTCGTCCCCCCTCACCTCCCAAACCGTTTTGCTGCAAAACCTAAAACATAGCGCGACTTACACCCATGTCTAGGTGTGATACCCGACCTCGGGTATTAATTACCCGACCGGGTCGGGTACCCGTTACCCGACACGTCGGGTAACGTTTCGGGTAACGGGTATCAAATACCCGCCCGGGTAACCCGGACCCGACCCGCCCTAAAAGCGGATCCGGGTCCGGGTACCCGACCCAGGCGGGTAGTATGCTCTAGCCTATTCTCAGGGATTTGCCCTCTGAGTTTTGAGGCGACTCTAAAATCTGCTCTCTCCCCCCCTTTCTCCCACCACCGGCAGTGACATTGGATCCAACAACTTCTCAGGGTCACTTCCTCCTGAGTTCTCCATGCTCGCCTCTCTTGTGGTGCTGTGAGTCTCTGATTCCTGTGAGTTGCGTGTACCTAAGAATCTTGCATACCCGTGAGTCGTATGCACCCGGGATTCTTACGTACCCGTGAGTCGTATGTACCTAAGATTCTTGCACACCTTTGAGTCGTATGCACCTAAGATTCTTGCACTCCTGTGAGTCGTATGCACCTAAGATTCTTGCACTCCTGTGAGTCGTATGCACCTAAGATTCTTGCACTCCTGTGAGTCATATGCACATAAGATTCTTGCACTCCTGTGAGTCGTATGCACCTAAGATTATTGCACTCCTGTGAGTCGTATGCACCTAAGATTCTTGCACTCCTGTGAGTCGTATGCACCTAAGATTCTTGCACTCCTGTGAGTCGTATGCACCTAAGATTCTTGCACACCTGTGAGTCGTATGCACCTAAGATTCTTGCACACCTGTGAGGCATTCAAGCATGGACGCTTTTAGCTTCAGTCTTGCGCTGCGTGATTGCAGGTCCGTTCTTGACTATCTTTTCCACATCCCTAAGAATGTGCATTGCTAGAAAGGTGCATTGCTCTCGTTCCTCAGCATCTGACATACTCACCCATCTCCCCATCTCTCGTGCCTTGGCCCGGCACGTGTGTTCTCTCTCACGCGTTCTCGTCAGGGCAGCACGGCAGCAAACAACAGCCTGTCAGGGGAGTTCCCCTCCGTGCTGCTGGAGCTCACCATGCTCGAAGGACTGTACGTGCGCTGCAGCCCTCTCAATCACCGCGCTGCAACCCTCTCAATCACCGCGCTGCAACCCTCTCAATCACCGCGCTGCAACCCTCTCAATCACCGTGCTGCAACCCTCTCAATCACCGCGCTGCAACCCTCTCAATCACCACGCTGCAACCCTCTCTATCACCACGCTGCCAGCCTCTCTATCACCACGCTGCAAGCCTCTCTATCACCACGCTGCAACCCTCTCTATCACCACGCTGCAAGCCTCTCAATCACCACGCTGCAACCCTCTCTATCACCACGCTGCAAGCCTCTCTATCACCACGCTGCAAGCCTCTCTATCACCACGCTGCAACCCTCTCTATCACCACGCTGCAAGCCTCTCAATCACCACGCTGCAACCCTCTCTATCACCACGCTGCAAGCCTCTCTATCACCACGCTGCAAGCCTCTCTATCACCACGCTGCAACCCTCTCTATCACCACGCTGCAAGCCTCTCTATCACCACGCTGCAAGCCTCTCTATCACCACGCTGCAACCCTCTCTATCACCACGCTGCAAGCCTCTCTATCACCACGCTGCAAGCCTCTCTATCACCACGCTGCAACCCTCTCTATCAGCACGCTGCAAGCCTCTCTATCACCACGCTGCAACCCTCTCTATCAGCACGCTGCAAGCCTCTCTATCACCACGCTGCAACCCTCTCTATCAGCACGCTGCAAGCCTCTCTATCACCACGCTGCAACCCTCTCTATCACCACGCTGCAAGCCTCTCTATCACCACGCTGCAACCCTCTCTATCACCACGCTGCAAGCCTCTCTATCACCACGCTGCAACCCTCTCTATCACCACGCTGCAAGCCTCTCTATCACCACGCTGCAACCCTCTCTATCACCACGCTGCAAGCCTCTCTATCAGCACGCTGCAAGCCTTGGAGTCCCATTCTGAATTATCTTCTTGCTATTATCTGTCGCCCCTGCTCTCCCTGCCACAGCATGCCTCCACTCCACTTGCAGCTCCCACTTTCAAGCACACCATCCTCCGTTCACCATTCACCCTCCTTCCCCTCCTATGTTCCCCCCCTCTCCAACTCTCCTCCGTCCTTGTGCTCTCTCTATCTCCACACCTTGTACCCTCGCTTCCCTCTTCCGCAGCGACCTGGCATACAACAAATTCCAGGGCTCCGTACCGCTGGGTATCACCGCACTCACTGGGCTTGCCGTTCTGTGAGTGCCGCTCACTGGGCTTGCCGTTCTGTGAGTGCTGCTCACTGGGCTTGCCGTTCTGTGAGTGCTGCTCACTGGGCTTGCCGTTCTGTGAGTGCTGCTCACTGGGCTTGCCGTTCTGTGAGTGCTGCTCACTGGGCTTGCCGTTCTGTGAGTGCTGCTCACTGGGCTTGCCGTTCTGTGAGTACTGCTCGTCTAAAAACCGGGCAAGCAAGTCCGTAAGTGGCCCATGGGGTGTTATTCCATGTTTTTTACTTTTCCAGTCCCTCTGTCTTCCTCTTGCCCTCACCCCTCCCTCCCTCTCCCTCCCTTTCTCTGTCTCCCTCCATCTCTCTGCCTCCCACCCTCCCTCCCGCCCTCCCTCCCTCCCTCCCTCTCCCTCTCACCCGCTCGCCCTCTGCCTCTCTCGTCCTGCCCCTGCCCATCAGGCATCTGGACCACAACCAGTTCTCAGGGGAGATGCCCACCTTCCTCTTCCAGCTCAACCACATGACAGAGCTGTGCGTTTCCCGTTCAATTGGAATCCTCGAAAGCCAGCTCATCCCAGTTCCTGCCCTCCTTGTGCCTTCATGTGTGGACGACCGTGAATCCCGGCTTTTTATTATCCGTATCCTTGCGCCTCTCGCCCTTCTGCCTGCCTCCCGTTCTGCCCGCGTCAAGTCTTCCTGTGGTTGAGTCAGCTGGGCACTGTGTCATAGCTTTGAAGTGCCATCCATTGGGTGTGCCATCCATTGGGTGTGCCATACTCTCCTCCCGGTGTCCTATTTCCAGCTTCCTCGCCTACAATTACTTCCAAGGCAGCATTCCGCAGAGTCTCGCATCCAGTGGCCAACTCAGCATGCTGTGAGTGTTGCTGGGTGCGGTGAGTTTTGCTGGGCGCGGTGAGTTTTGCTGCGCACGCTGTGAGTGCCGAGTGCTGCTGCTTTGTGCTGGTGTTTACCCTGTGTAACCACTTCTCCCACCCCTGCCACATGTGTGTCTCCCAGCAATCTCGAGGGCAACTCTTTCAGTGGCCCACTGCCTGACTTCGCCCAGTGGAACACCAGCCTCAACGCTCTGTACGCCTCTGCACCGTGTCGTACCGTTTGCTCTTTCGGAGCACAGAGAGAAGCATTGCATTGCTTGCATGTTCATGAGTGCTGGTCCGAGAGTGGCCTGCATACAGAATGGACACTGCACACAACCATGCTGCACCAGTCTGCACTGCACCAGACTCCCCTGCCCTGCTGCATGCCCACTTATCTGCTTTCCGTCATGTCCCCTCTGCTGGATTCTTCAACCTTCTTTTTCCATGCAGAGAGTGTTGGTAGCTTCATGTGCACTGTGCACACACCCTTCTTGGAGTGGTACGACTGTGCCTCCCACTGTGGACCCCACCACCCCCCACACTGCCCCAGGTATCTAGGGTTCAACGCTTTCACTGGCTCCATCCCGGACTCGCTCTCTACAATCACAACTCTCAACGTCATGTGAGTATCGCTCACTACAATCACAACTCTCAATAACATGTGAGTCGTCGCTCACTACAATCACATCCCTTCAATGTTACGTCTGCATGCATGGGGCTCATTGCCCCTTCCTAGGGGAAATCACACCTTTTTAACGTCCATCTCCCATTTCTTGGGCCAGTCGTCGCTTCCTTGGGTCAACCGCTACAGGGGTACAGGGGGCACGGGGGGTAGTGGCACGGGGGGTAGTGGCACGGAGGGTAGTAGCACAGGGGCTAGTGGCACGGGGGGCTAGTGGCACGGGAGGGTAGTGGCACGGGGCACGGGGTGGTGGGGGCACGGGGGCTAGCAGCATGGGGGCTATCGGCACGGGGGTAGTGGCACGGGGGGCAGTGGCACGGGGGGTAGTGGCACGGGGGGCAGCGGCATGGGGTACCGGGGGTAGCGGCACGGGGCACGGGGGATAGTGGCACGGGGGGCTAGTGGCACGGGGGTAGTGGCAGGGGGAGTTGTGTCACGGACTTAAGCATGCAGGACATGTATGGCAGCATGTATGGCAGCATGTACAGCAGCATGTACGGCAGCCAGTACGGCAGCATGTATGGCAGCATTGTAACCAGCATGTGTGATGTGGTATGTGCCATGTCTCCTGTGCTCCATCCCCTGAGCTGCAGCACTCTTCAGGGCAATCAACTGTCGGGCAACATCCCATCCTCGCTCTCAGCGCTCACAGCCCTTGACACCATGTGAGAGCTCACAGCCCTTGACACCATGTGAGAGCTCACAGCCCTTGACACCATGTGAGAGCTTACAGCCCTTGACACCATGTGAGAGCTCACAGCCCTTGACACCATGTGAGAGCTCACAGCCCTTGACACCATGTGAGAGCTCACAGCCCTTGACACCATGTGAAAAGGCCTTTTTGCCATGTGCTTCCCTGCACCCACTGCTCCAGTCGTCCCTTGCAGCCCTCTAGCACTCTGCTCCTCCCCATCTCCCCCTCACTCCCTTCTAATCACTCCACATCTTTATCATGTTCCGCTCTTTCTCTCCAACCCTACCTCCCCTTACCAACCCAATTTCTCCCTGCTCCGATTTCACCCCAACCCCCCGTGTCCAACCGTGCAGATGGCTGGCCAACAATCAGCTCTCAGGCACTCTCCCCGACTTCTTTGCCTCCCTCTCTAACCTGCGACAGCTGTATGGAGCGCCCTCTCGCACTCTCTCGCGCATTCTCCCACCCTTCCTTTTGCCACCTTCTCCTCTTCCCACCCCCTCCCCCCCCCTCCCCTCCCCCCCCCTGCACCACATGGGCCACTGCTGTGCATCGTGTCCTCGCTCGCACCTCCCCTGCTTCACCTTTCACTCTCTCTTGAGGCACCTCTCAAGTCTACGCTGCCGCCTTCTCCTCTCTAATTTTCCGGCTCCCATGCTCCTTCGCGTCTCACTGTCTTTCCCCCCCTCCTCACCCCACCCCCACACTCCCCTGCTCACACTACCCACCGTCCCTTTCCCCTCCCCTGCCCAGTCTGCTGGGCGGCAATCAGATTTTGGGCCTCCTGCCGCCCTTTTCAATGGTGACTTCAAGCCTGTCCCACTCCCCATCCCCTGCCCAGTCTGCTGGACGACAATCAGATCTCGGGCCTTCTGCCGCCCTCCTTCTGCAACCTCAAGCTCCTGGAATACTTGTGAGTTGCGGGCATTGCTCTCATAACGTCGTATGGACTGCTTTTATGATTCATGCTTGGCTTCCTCTTTTAGTGTTTTCTTTTTCTTTTTCTTTTTCTTTTTTTTTTTTTAACGCGCCTCAACCTCCAGCTTTCTGTCTGTCTCACATTCCCCCCCCCCTTCTCCCCCCCAGTGGCGTGCGCAGCAACCGCATGTACGGGTCGCTGCCCCGATGCATGCTTGACTTCTTCTAATCTCCTTCTGAGGCGCCTCAAATTCCCGATGTTTTGTCTCCCCCTAACGCCTTCTATCCTTCCCACCCCCCCCCACCTTTTCTCTCTCCTTTCCCAGTGGCGCGCGCAACAACCGCATGTACGGGCCGCTGCCGCGATGCATGTTTGACTTCTTGGGCTTCAACTACCTGTGAGAGCCCTACCTGCCGCCTCTGTTCCTCTCGCCAAATCCATTCGACAAAACCATTCGCCAAATCCATTCGCCAAAACCATTCACCAAAACCATTCGTCGAAACCATTCGCCAAATCCATTTGCCAAAACCATTCGCCAAATCCATTCGTCAAATCCATTCGCCAAAACCATTCGCCAAAACCATTCGCGAAAACCATTTGCCAAAACCATTCGCGAAATCCATTTGCCGAAACAATTCGCCAAAAGCATTCGCAATCTTTATTCGCCAAAACCATTCGCCGGCGTTGCATAGTCTCATCCAACCCTTTCCTTGTTTCGCTTCTCTCCCCTCTCCCGCTCCTCCTGCCCCAGCGACCTGCGCAAGAACTCGTTCTGTGGCCCCATCAACTGCGACTTCAAGGGCATGAACAACCAGCCCACTGAGCAAGACCCTCACTCTCTGTTACTCTTCTTCCCTCCTACCCCCCTCCCCCGCTCTCCGCCCCGCCCCCCTCCCCGCTCTCCCCCCGCCCCCCTCCCCCGCTCTCGCCCCCGCCCCCTCCCCCAGCGACCTGCGCAACAACTCGTTCTACGGCACCATCAACCGCGACTTCAAGGGCATGAACAACAACGACCTGAAGCTGAACCCCCGCCCCGCCGTCATCAACCTCGCCTACAACTACTTCTATGGGGAGCCCTTTGTGTACGCCGCCGGCAGCATGGTGTGCCCCACGCCCTTGGTGCGCCAGATCGACTACCGCGACCTCAATGTCATCGGGTCCACAGGAGGAGGGAAGGTGGCGGCAGACTCGGTGTCTGGAAGGCAGGATTATCGGCTGTCGCAGGCGTACCAGAAGGGCCAGGCGAGCCTGCTGCAGAACTGCCTGGCGGTGCGCGGCGAGGCGGGTTGCCTTGTGAACGAGACGCAGCGGCCCGCGCAGGAGTGCGCGGCGTTCTGTAGCGTGACGGACAACGGCCCGTGTAACGGGCTTGGGGACTGCGTGCCACTGGAGGGGGGGTCGGGCCAGCAAGGCTTCACGTGCCAGTGCAAAGCGCCCTATGTGGCAGTGAACGGGGGCAATGGCTCGACTTGCGCACTGCAGTCGTCCTGTGAGTGCAAAACGTCGTTTCAAGGTGCTGCGTTGCACGTGGGTGGGGTTTTTCTTGCCAGAGCAATGCAATCTATGGGGACACTACTATATCCCATCCAGCTCTCCTGCGTTGCCCATTTAACTACTACCCCTCGTCCCTCTGATCCCTTCGTTAGTTCTCTTCTCCCCCCAACCTTTCCTCCCGACCCACTTCCTCCTTTTCCTCATCCCCCCCGCGCTGCAGCACTCTCAACAGGGGCCATTGTGGGCATCTCCGTGGGGTGCTTTGTGGGCCTCGCGCTCATCGCCGCCGTGCTCGTCGTCATGCTCAGGCCCAAGAAGAGACGTGAGTGCCATCCTGCATCTGCCCCTTCTTCCTCTGCCCTCGACCCTATGTCCCTGTGCCTCCCCTCCCCCCTCCCCCCCCTCCCCACCATCCCCTCCCTCTCCCCCCGCCTCCTCTGCCACTGCCCCTAGTGCCCAACTCCCCCCCTGTACTCCCGCTCCTTGTGCCACCCCCAATCCTGTGCCAATTCCTCAAACCCCTCTTGCGTTTCTCCCCAGGGCGGTGGGACGACCTGGACGTGTGTCAGGAGTTTTCGCTCTCCACGATGCGCAAGGCCACCAACGACTGGGCGGACGACAACGTGCTGGGGGAGGGGGGCTTCGCCGTGGTCTACAAGGGCGTCAACCCCACCACCGGCCAGATGTGGGCCATCAAGCGCCAGACTCTCATGTCCAACGATTTCGAAATGGAGGTGAGGCAGCTTGTAACGAGTATAGCAGTGCAGACTGTAGCGAGTAGCTCTGAGGTCTGGTATTCAGTCGGAATTTCGCCTCGCTGACCCACCCCAACCTGGTGCGGCTGCTGAAGGATACTATTTCGTTCACCCCGTTCAAAGCTCTCTGTGCTTGGGCTGTAAACCCCAAACCCCCACCAGGTGCGTGCAGGCCATGTAGAGTCTCAACCACACCGACCTGGTGCGGCTGCTGGGGTTCACTGTATCTTACTTCTCTTTTAAATCTCTGTGCTTGTGCCCAAACCCTAAACCCCCCACCCACCAGGTGCGGGCAATGGCGAGCCTAAACCACACAAACCTGGTGCGGCTGCTGGGGTACTGCCTCGACATGGATGTGGAGAGTGGCAAGCAGGAGCAGATCCTCGTGTATGAGTTTGTGGCGAACCGGGACTTCCAGTACCACATCCACAAGACAAAGCGTGAGTGCCACATCCATGAGTCATAACCTACTGCCCACTGCCCGCGCTACCTGCCCCCCGGCCTTCCCACGCCTGCCACAGCCATTCCCAATGGCAGTGGAAATGACAATGGAAGGGCAATGGCACTAAGGCTGCCAACCTGGGCCGGCGGCTGCCAATGTTTTGCTCACCTAGTGTCCCACTGGGCCAAAACAAATCCCTGGAAAGGAGAGGTCTTGGGTTCAATACCGTCTACCGCCTGGGTTCAAAACCGCCAACCTGCCAGCCGACCCGCCCACCCGCCCACCCGCTCGCCAACCAACCCGCCAACCCGCCAACCAACCCGCCAACCCGCCAACCCGCCAACCCGCCAACCCGCCAACCAACCCGCCAACCAACCCGCCAACCAACCCGCCAACCAACCCGCCAACCCGCCAACCAACCCGCCAACCAACCCGCCAACCAGCCAGCCAACCCGCCAGCCAACCCGCCAAACCGCCAACCAACCCGCCAACCAACCCGCGAACCAACCCGCGAACCAACCCGCGAACCAACCCGCGAACCAACCCGCGAACCAACCCGCGAACCAACCCGCGAACCAACCCGCGAACCAACCCGCGAACCAACCCGCGAACCAAACCGCGAACCAACCCGCGAACCAACCCGCGAACCAACCAACCCGCGAACCAACCCGCGAACCAACCCGCGAACCAACCCGCGAACCAACCCGCGAACCAACCCGCGAACCAACCGCGAACCAACCCGCGAACCAACCCGCGAACCAACCCGCGAACCAACCCGCGAACCAACCCGCGAACCAACCCGCGAACCAACCCGCGAACCAACCCGCGAACCAACCCGCGAACCAACCCGCGAACCAACCCGCGAACCAACCCGCGAACCAACCCGCGAACCAACCCGCGAACCAACCCGCGAACCAACCCGCGAACCAACCCGCGAACCAACCCGCGAACCAACCCGCGAACCAACCCGCGAACCAACCCGCGAACCAACCCGCGAACCAACCCGCGAACCAACCCGCGAACCAACCCGCGAACCAACCCGCGAACCAACCCGCGAACCAACCCGCGAACCAACCCGCGAACCAACCCGCGAACCAACCCGCGAACCAACCCGCGAACCAACCCGCCAACCAACCCGCCAACCAACCCGCGAACCAACCCGCCAACCAACCCGCCAACCAACCCGCGAACCAACCCGCGAACCAACCCGCGAACCAACCCGCAACCAACCCGCGAACCAACCGCGAACCAACCCGCCAACCAACCCGCCAACCAACCCGCAACCAACCCGCAACCAACCCGCCAACCAACCCGCAACCAACCCGCCAACCAACCCGCCAACCAACCCGCCAACCAACCCGCCAACCAACCCGCCAACCAACCCGCCAACCAACCCGCCAACCAACCCGCCAACCAACCCGCCAACCAACCCCGCAACCAACCCGCCAACCAACCCGCCAACCAACCCGCCAACCAACCCGCCAACCAACCCGCGAACCAACCCGCGAACCAACCCGCGAACCAACCCGCGAACCAACCCGCGAACCAACCCGCGAACCAACCCGCGAACCAACCCGCGAACCAACCCGCGAACCAACCCGCGAACCAACCCGCCAACCAACCCGCGAACCAACCCGCGAACCAACCCGCGAACCAACCCGCCAACCAACCCGCGAACCAACCCGCGAACCAACCCGCCAACCAACCCGCGAACCAACCCGCGAACCAACCCGCCAACCAACCCGCCAACCAACCCGCCAACCAACCCGCCAACCAACCCGCCAACCAACCCGCCAACCAACCCGCCAACCAACCCGCCAACCAACCCGCCAACCAACCCGCCAACCAACCCGCCAACCAACCCGCCAACCAACCCGCCAACCAACCCGCCAACCAACCCGCCAACCAACCCGCCAACCAACCCGCCAACCAACCCGCCAACCAACCCGCCAACCAACCCGCCAACCAACCCGCCAACCAACCCGCCAACCAACCCGCCAACCAACCCGCCAACCAACCCGCCAACCAACCCGCCAACCCAACCCGCCAACCAACCCGCCAACCAACCCGCCAACCAACCCGCCAACCAACCCGCCAACCAACCCGCCAACCAACCCGCCAACCAACCCGCCAAACCAACCCGCCAACCAACCCGCCAACCAACCCGCCAACCAACCCGCCAACCAACCCGCCCAACCCAACCCGCCAACCAACCCGCCAACCAACCCGCCAACCAACCCGCCAACCAACCCGCCAACCAACCAACCAACCGCCAACCAACCCGCCAACCAACCCGCCAACCAACCGCCAACCAACCCGCCAACCAACCCGCCAACCAAACCGCCAACCAAACCGCCAACCAACCCACCAACCAACCCGCCAACCAACCCGCCAACCAAACCGCCAACCAAACCGCCAACCAAACCGCCCGCCAGCCCGCCAACCCGCCCGCCAACCCGCCAACCCGCCAACCAACCCGCCAACCCGTCAACCAACCCGCCAAGCTGCCAACCAACCCGCCAACCAACCCGCCAACCCGCCAACCCGCCAACCAACCCGCCAACCCGCCATCCCGCCAACACGCCAACCCGCCAACCCAGCAAGCACATCCAAACAAGCCAATCCAAGCCCATCCAAGCCCATCCAAGCAAGCCCATCCAAGCCCATCCAAGCCCATTCAAGCCAATCCAAGCCCATCCAAGCCCATCCAAGCAAGCACATCCAAACAAGCCCATCTTAGCCCATCCAAGCCCATTCAAATCCATCCAAGCCCATCCAAGCCCATCCAAACCCATCCAAACCCATCCAGGCCCATCCAACCCCATCCAAGCCCATCCAAACAAACCCATCCAAGCCCATCCAAGCTTTACTTGCTACAAACGCTCTGGCAGACACGCGTTTAGCGTTCAAACGCTTGCGTTTCAACGCAAACGCACCCAAAAACGCAAACGCTCACTGGGATTTTTTCCGGGCTGTCCCCCCATGAGATTGTCGTTGGAGAATGGCCTTAAGGATAGATGATTTACATGGCATATGAGGATGCTGGCTCAAATGTTAAGCACGGTACTTTTTTATGAGACAAAATGCTTCCTGGTAGAACCCCCATGTTTCTCCCCTCCCCAACAGGAATCTTTAACCCCTGCCCAGGTGAAAATTTTACCCCTGCCCGGGCAAGCGTTTTTCTAGCGTTCACATACACACTGCCGAGCGTTTAGCGTTCAAATGCTAGCGTTCAAACTCCAAACGCATTTGTAGCAACTAAGATCCAAAGCCCATCCAATGGCAATGGCCCACCTCCCACCGCCCACCGCCCACCGCCCATGAGCCACATTCATAATCAAATGGGTGAGCCTGTCCCTTGCCTTCCCTTCCCTTTAGTCTCAGCGCTGATTCTCCCCACCACTGCCCCGTCCCTGTCCATCCTCCCAGACCCCCTGACCCTGCGGCAGCGTCTGAAGCTGGCACTGGGGGCAGCTGAGGGGCTGGCGTACCTGCATGGCTTCGCCAACCCCATCATTCACCGCGACATCAAACCCGCCAACATCCTCGTGGGGGACAACCTCACTGTGAGTCACCTCAACCCAAGCACGACACGAAGCATGACACAAGCATGCCACAAGCATGAAACAGGCATGGCACAGGCATGGCACAGGCATGACACAGGCATGACACAAGCATGACACAAGCGTGACACAAGCATGACACAGGCATTTGCCTCCCTATTACAGCCTCACTGTGAGATGTGTGAGTGATGCAGCGAGGACAACACAGACAACCCCATTGTGCGCCGGAGGGAAGTAGACTTGCCAGCGCCCTCGTCACAAAAACTCCACACCTTGTTCTTCCCTCCCTGCACCTGTTTCAAGCCAAGATCGCGAACTTTGGGTTGTTCAAACACGGCGATGATAAGGGCACCTCAAAGTCCTCCTCTCTCTCGCTGGTTCTGCATCTTGCGCATCTCTCTCATCTTGCGCATCTCTCTCATCTTGCGCATCTCTCTCATCTTGCGCGTCTCTCTCATCTTGCGCATCTCTCTCATCTTGCGCGTCTCTCTCATCTTGCGCATCTCTCTCATCTTGCGCATCTCTCTCATCTTGCGCATCTCTCTCATCTTGCGCATCTCTCTCATCTTGCGCATCTCTCTCATCTTGCGCGTCTCTCTCATCTTGCGCATCTCTCTCATCTTGCACATCTCTCTCATCTTGTGCATCTCTCTCATCTTGCGCGTCTCTCTCATCTTGCGCGTCTCTCTCATCTTGCGCGTCTCTCTCATCTTGCGCATCTCTCTCATCCGGTCCTGTCAGGCCGAGACAGCGGATTCTGGGCAGCTGAAGACGCTCAAACACAGCGATGTGAGCGCCTTACAATCGACCTCAATCTTCCTCCTGCCCCTCCTGCCCCTCCCGCCCCTCCCGCCCCTCCCGCCCTTTCAGGCCAAGATCGCGGATTTCGGGCTGCTGAAGACACTCAAGTTTGGCGACGAGACGGCCACCAAGGTAGCAGGCACGCCCGGCTATGTGGACCCCGACTACAACCGCACCCAGATGGTCACCACTAAGAGTGATGTTTACAGGTGCGCCGCTAAGAGGGATGTTTAGAGGTGAGATGGTATGTTATTGTTTTCATTGGTGGGATGTGATGTTTTCACGCACAATTCCACCGTGCGCCTCTTCCCCCTCACCTTGCATGTTCCGTGCCCCATGCCTCATGCCTCATGCCCCATGCGCCATGCTTCATGCCCCATGCGCCATGCTTCATGCCTCATGCCCCATACGCCATGCCTCATGCCTCATGCCCCATGTGTCATGTCCAGATACATCCTTTCAATATGTTCCAATATCCAACCTCACGCTTCAATGCCTAACTCCTCAATTTCATCCCTCTTCACACCCTCATCCCCCTCACATGCCACGTGTCAGTTTCGGAGTGGTGCTGCTGGAAATGCTGACAGCGCGCAAGGTCACCATGGGGGGCAGCTCTCACATCGGCAAATGGGTGAGCGACACCTCAGCAGATTGCTGTGAATCAAGTGTCATCAATCCCCAGCAGATTACACATCAGCAAAGGACTGCATGACAGAGCTAGTTGCTGCGTAACTCGCCCTTCCATGTGTCCTCTGATGCTGCCACCCCCCCTCATCCTCCCTTCTCTCCTCCAGCCCCACAGGCAAGATGGTGGCAGAATAAGCTTTAGACGACCTGCGGAACTCGGCGCTGGACATCCCCGAGGAGGCCATAGTGGAGTGGGCGGACCTGGCCCTCGACTGCATCAAGGCAAGGGGGCAATTTACTCCGCCCTCTCATTTCCTTGCTACCCCTTCCCACCACCGCCACCAGGCGAGCAAGATGGTAGCAGAGTACACCCTGGACGACCTGAGGGACAAGGCGCTCGACATCCCCGAGGAGGCCATAGTGGAGTGGGCGGACTTGGCCCTCGACTGCATCAAGGCGCCGGGCTCGCGGCGCCCCGAGATGCGCGACGTGGTGCGGCGGCTGGACCACCTGCTGATGTCATACACCGTGGAGGAAGAGGGGGAGAACGAGCTGGGCAGTGGGGGGGGTGGGGGCGGTGGGCTGAACAGCCAGGCTGGGCCGAGCACGGGCATTCCGTCGGGGATCAGCCTGCCTTCTTCGGGGGTTATGAGCTCGATGCTCAACAGTGGGGTGCAGAGCGGTGTGAGTGGCAAGAGCGGGGTGTCCACTGCAAGCACTCGCTCCAAGCTGATGCTATCGGTGGCGTCGGCTCTGGGGATGAGTGAGGCGGATATCAAGCCAGGGGAGGCGGGCAGGGAGGGGGGTGGGAAGGCAGAGGGGGAGGGGGGAGGGGATGGGAGGAGCGTGGTGATGAGGCTTGCACGGCGGGACAGCAACACGGATAACAGCTTCATCAATGTGGACCAGCTGCAGGCGCGGTAGGGCGGAGAGATGGGGAGGAGATAGAGGGAGGAGAGACGGAAGCAGTGGGTGCAGGGTGGAAAGACAGGTGTTGGGTTGGCGGGTGGGAGGAGCGTGGGCATGAGGCTCGCACGAGGGGATAGTACGGCTAAAGGCTTTGTTAATGTGGGGCAGCTGCAGGTGCGGTAGAGAGGAGAGATTGGGAGGGGGGCACTGACTCTGACGCACATGAGAGGGGACAGTACGGCTAACAGCTTCATCAGTGTGCAGCAGCTGCAGGCGCTGTAGGGAGGTAACATGGGGAGGGAAGCACTGACGCATGTGAGAGGGGGCAGTACGGCTAACAGCTTCATCAGTGTGCAGCAGCTGCTGGGGCGGATAAGGTGCTGGTGACTGTTATGGAAGCAGAGTGGTCAGGATCCCAGACCAGACCCTACGCTGCCTAGCCTGGATAGTTATCTACCACTTTACAACCAGTCATGGTTGTGCATGTTACTGGAAGAAATGAGTGTTGCGAACTACATGCAGTACATATTGCAATGTATTGAAAGTCTGCAATATATTGAAAGTTAACTATACAAAAGACAATCGGCTGGTTGAACAAAAAATGCAACATAGGCTGAAAGATGGCAGTGCTTCCCAAAAAGACCGCCTGTATATTAGGTAGATGCCATAGCAGCAGTAGCAGCAGCAGCCCTCAGAAAGCAGCAGGCACTGGATATTGCTGCAAATGGCACTGCTGTGCATCCAGCAGTATGCCTTTGACTTGATTCATTCGGTAACGGCGTCCACAACTCATGCAGCATAGCAGCTTGGAAGAATTGCTTGTCTCTTTGCCCCATCTGCCGCTGGTCTAGACAGCTCGTCCACGCCCACGCAGCACGCCCCTGACCCAATGTCCCAGCTACTATCAGGCGCATTGTCAGGTGCTTTATGAGGGGGAAAAGACACTGCATCACCAGCGTATTGCAAGGATGGTGTGTGCGCTGTGAGCAGGGGCCCCTGGTGGGAGTAGATACCATCAGGGATGGTGAGAATGGCAGATCTGTTCTCCAGGCCCGTGCTGCTGCTGCTGCTGCTGCTGCTGCTGCTGCTGCTGCTGTTAGTGCTGCTGCTGCTCCCACTGCCGCTGCTGCTGCTGCTGCTGCTGCTACTGCTAGAGCAAGCTTCGATTGAATGCGGAGAGGGGGAAAGGTGAATGTCGGTGCGGGGAGTGAGGGAGGACGGGGTGGAGGAGAGGAAGGTGGGGGACAGCAGGCTGCGCTGCTGCTCGTTCTCCTCTATCGCCTTCTGCAGTGCGTCCTTGGCCACCCTCGTTATAAGAACAGTCGCCACCACTGTAACAGCAAGGCCAATTCCCAGCATCCACTGCAGGAAGGCCAAGTGACAGCACAAGAAGAGAAGAAAGGAGAGACGAGGAGTGAGACAGGATTATTGGGGCTAAGGGAGCGGACTTATACGTTGCCGTGTGCGGCATGAATTGACTAGACGCAGGCACCTCATGTAACAAAACACCCTTTGTGCTTCACCACCTCCTGTACAACAACCCCGGTACAACAACCCCAGTACGAAAGCACCCTCACACATGAGCAGCTCCGCTCACCCACTGCGACGCCCCAGCAGCTCCTGGGGAGCCGATTTCTGAGATGTCCTTGATGGTGGTGCCCAGGTACACGAAGGTGAACGTGGTGGGCTGCACATGCGCACATGAGGAGGAGGAGAGAGGAAAAGGGGGGGAGAGGAGAAGCAAAAAGGAGAATATGTATTTTAGGTCGTGCCCATGTGTACAAAGGTGAACCTGGTGGGCTGCACGTGGATAGAGGGTGCGAAAGCAGGAGAGAATATTTCTTCTAGTCATGACCATCTTGCCCCCCCGCTGACCATCATGCCCCCCCGCTGACCATCATGCCCCCCCGCTGACCATCATGCCCCCCCGCTGACCATCATGCCCCCCGCTGACCATCATGCCCCCCCGCTGACCATCATGCCCCCCCGCTGACCATCTTGCCCCCCCGCTGACCATCTTGCCCCCCCGCTGACCATCTTGCCCCCCCGCTGACCATCTTGCCCCCCCGCTGACCATCATGCCCCCCCGCTGACCATCTTGCCCCCCCGCTGACCATCTTGCCCCCCCGCTGACCATCTTGCCCCCCCGCTGACCATCATGCCCCCCCGCTGACCATCATGCCCCCCCCCTGACCATCAAAACCCCATGCGCCCCCCCACCGCCCATCCTGCCTTGACTCCCCACTGACCATCATGCCGATCCAGGAGGCGAGGACGTAAGAAGAGAGGCTGATGGGCGTCACTGAGAGCACGTAGTTCATCACGTTGAACGGCAGGATGGGCACCAGCCGCAGCAGCAGCACGATCTGCTCAGTGCGGGAGCGGGGAGGGGGGAGAGGGGAGGTGGGAGTGAGGGGCGAGGGGGGAGACAGAGCTTGATCATGATGGGCGTCACTGAGAGCACACGCAGTTCATCACGCTGAAGGGCAGGATGGGCAGCAGGCACAGCAGCAGCACTCTCTGGTGAGGGTGGGGTGGGAGGAGGAAAGAGGGAGGGGAGGGGAGGGAGCACCAGGTGAAGGCCAGGAGAGCAGTATGGGAGGGAGAGGAGGCTGGGAGACTCAGGCGTCTAGCGAGAGAGAAGTAGGGGGTTGGGGGGGGGGTGGTTGGAGGGGGCGGAAAGAGGGGGCGAAGGGGGGAAGAGGGGGAGGAGGGAGAAATGCAGGCAGTAGTAAAGAGGTACAGGGTGGCATCTCACCTTGAATCAGGGTTTGGCGATGGCGTGGGTGACTGGCTAGGAGTGCAGTGCTGGTACTTTTTTACCTCACCTTAGAATGGGATCTCACCTTGAATCCGGATTTGGCGATGGCATGCGCCACTGGCTGGAACTGCGGGTACTCCTTGAGCTTCGCTGACACATACGAGCGCCCAATCTGCAGTAAGTGAGGGGGGGCAGTGGGAGGGGTGGGAGGTGCAGGACATGGGGAGGAGGAGGGGGGGAACATGAGCGACACTGCGGGTACTCCTTGGGCTTCGCTGAAACATACGAGCGCCCGATCTGCAGTAAGTGAGGGGGGACAGGGGGAGGGGTGGGAGGTGCAGGACATGTGGAGGAGGGAGGGAACATGAGCGACTGGCTGGAGCTGCGCCTGCGGGTACTCCTTGAGCTTCGCCGACACGTACACCACATGGGGGCGTGAGGGGGATGGGAGGTGCGGAGGATGGGAGGTGCAGGGGATGGGAGGTGCAGGACATGAGAGGGGAGCAGGGACAAGGCTGAGAGGCTGTGGGCGGGTCCGCTGGTCCATGAAACCAGGTGTGGCGATAGGGTGTGGAATCAGTGTTAAACGCCAAGCGCAACATGCAAGGAAACAAGAGGGTGGGATGTGGAGGCAAGAGCGGGTTTGTAGGAGCAAAGGCAATGCCGCGCCTGCAGCAAGGCGACGCACCGTTTTGCCAACGAGGAAAGCAGCGGTGGCGCCAGCAGTGGAGCCGAGCGAATCTGCAATGAAGCCCACCAGCAGCCCGAACACGTAGCCGCCCCCCAACTGACACAAGGACGAACGAAGGGACAAGCACCGCAGGGGACTCGTTCAGGATGCAGATTTCGAATAACTTTGAGACAAATTGTATGTTTGCTTCTACTTTCTTTTTCCGTCAGAGGTTTTCCTTGTTTCGCGTATGGCAACTGCTTACAGTGAGGATGGCGCCTGGAAGGGCGAGAATATTGAGTGGGATGTATGCGAGGGCCCTGAGAGCGAGGGAAAGAGTGAGGGTGTGGGGAAGGAGAGGGGAGAGCTTGATCAGTGGCTGAGGCCGCAACAGGAAGCAACTCACATACAGAATGCACCAGCAGGAAACGACGGGTAAACTACATACAAAGGGAAAAAGCTACGAAGGGAAAACCACAGGGAAGAAATGCCACGTACATGATAACTGGACCCCACACGCCGACATCGTTTTTGAGCCAGAGGAGGAAGTTCTTGAGCAACTGGGGAGTGGGGTGGGTGGGGGGAGGGTGGAAGGGAGGGGACGAACGGCAAAGAGGAGAGAGGATGCCTTGAGTCTTTCATCCTTTAGTGTGCAGTGCTGAATAATGGCGTATAATCCTCCAATGGCGGACTATAATTCCTTCAACGGCTAACTACGAATTCCTTTGATTGCTAACTACCCGTCACTATGATGTTCTTGATTATCCCTAAACGGGAAACGAAAGGGCTCAACGGCGTGGCATTCCACTACCTAGGCCCTCGATTTAAGGAGCCTTACCTGTTCGACGTTGATAGCGAGAAGCCCTAGAACGATGAATCCCATAACGAGGACAGCGTAGAACACCCGCTTGAGCGAGATTCCCGCCATCGCAGCTCGAAGCATCGACCCAATCATGGCACCTCCGTCGACCTTAGACGATAAACTACGCGCAATCCTTCCTAGCCGTCGATGCGGTGGTAATTGTGTGGATGGATGGCTAGGATGCGACGACGCTGCTCCATGTTGCTGGCAGTGCCGAAGGCTCTGATGGTGAGAATTGGTTCGTGGTGTTGCCGATGACGTCAGTTGACTGGATGATGACGTCACATGGTTAGACTTCAATCCTGGTTTGAGGCTGGAATCACTAGGTGCTGAACCTGGAGCTGAAACAGTCACTATCGGGGATGCTGACGTGGAAGGGCCTGTGGGCTGAGCCGTTGCGAGCGTCGCCGTGTTTGCCTCAGCAACAGCAGCTGACGTAGATCCGTGCGTTTCCCCGCCATCTCTACTAACGAGCATGATGCGAGAACTATAGTGATGTGTGAGGTGGAACAGGAGTGTCGTTAAACAAATGGCAGCGAGACGAGGTTCCAAAATCCAGTGAGTGAATGTCTTTGGATTCTATACGCAGCTAAGCGGCATGAACGCTTGTGGAGGGAGGAGTAGAAAGAACGTGAGTTGACAACACGAGGATAATATAGTAGCCGTTACAGCACGTGAGTTGACAACACGAGGATAATATAGTAGCCGTTACAGCAGACCTAGACTAGAGTGAGCAGTAGGTTGGAGGGTCAAACGGGTTGTGTTGTGATGGAGGGTCAGTCTCTCCCCAGCAGTTGTGTGGTGGAACTTTCACATCACAACACACCCACGGTCCACCCCCTCCCACCGTCAACAGAGCTCTCTACTCTACCCTGTTTGCTCTGCGCTCTTCCCTAGGGCGTGGCGGGAAACGGAGTGACCGCCTCTCCTCGACTCCATCTTGCTTCTTCCCTCGCGCCCGATCCGGCTGTTCCCCCTTCGCACGGCCCCACGCAGGGGGACTGCATCACATCTCAGTGCCAGCCAGCTGCCCCTCGCTCCCGCCTCGGTCCGTCCAAGGCAGGCCAGTGAGCCTAGCCCTTGGCAAACCGTACCAACCAATCTGGTTCGGAAGAGGCCCTACAGACAGATATAATCCCTAGGGCTTCGGTGAGGAGAATCTCGAGACGCCGTTGAAGCTGGCCCCCCACCAAACGGCCAGGTACGACAAGTCCCTGATGAAGGCTGGCGGTGGTTGACGTGTGCGTGACGCATCGACCATTCTGATTGGCCGAGTGATCAGTCCTGTTGCGATGCTTTGCACTTCGCGAACTGAGCAATGACTAGCACGAAGCCGCAACAATAGGTGACAAACACTCAAATTTAACGTTATTATGGGTAATACGGGTCACAAGTACTTTCTCATACTATTGATTCAAGAGACAACTTGCAACGCCAATTTTACATATCCCATTCCAACACATTGCCCTCAATTTTCTCGTTTGAAGACACTCCCACTCAAATGTGAGTTAAACTATTCTTAGGATGAAGTATGGATGTCGTCACTGGCAACTTCACACAAGGGACATTAGGCAGCAAGCGGCTCCGGCACAAGCCCAGTGTGCCGAAGCAGTGGCTCAATTGCCGGTTGCCTTCCTCGGAATTCCACAAACACCTGCAAAGAAAATACACAGCACTTGGAAGCATGCTTTAGGCTTCCGCCAAATGAAGGGTACACCAGCTAACAAAGCTTGCGGAAACACGCAAGGTGGATTGGCATGCCCGCAATGCTACAGGCCTGGAGACTCACGTCCTTGGCAGCCTTGCCTCCTCCAAGGCCCAACACTGTGTCCCGGAACTTGTGCCCAGTGGCCTTCACAGCCTGCTCACAGCAGGGAAGAGGGCAGGCCAAGACAGGGGTGAGCAAGGGACAGACGTGAAAGGTGGCATTTGCAAGATGACATGTGGATGCGGGAGGGAAGGGGACAAGGAAGATATTATGCATGCAATGGTGCCCTTGCAACAGCCCAGCCCTGTCCTTCACCTCAGTGTCACCACCATCTCACCTTGTTGCCACCAGCTCACCTCATCGCCACCATCTCACCTCATTGCCACCATCTCACCTCATCGCCACCATCTCACCTCATTGCCACCATCTCACCTCATTGCCACCATCTCACCTCATTGTCACCATTTCACCTCATAGCCACCATCTCACCTCATTGTCACCATCTCACCTCATCGCCACCATCTCACCTCATTGCCACCATCTCACCTCATTGCCACCATCTCACCTCATTACCACCATCTCACCTCATTGCCACCATCTCACCTCATTGCCACCATCTCACCTCATTGTCACCATTTCACCTCATTGGCACCACCTCACCTCATCGTCATCGATCCCTGCCTCCTCAAACGCTGCAAATGCATCGGCTGACAGCACCTCTGCCCACTGCAGGTGGAAAAAGGGCAGGGGAACATGAGAGGATGACGTAGGGGAATCTTAGAAGTTGTACAATATCCAGAAAAAAAAAAATCATACAGCCGCATGAACAGAGACAGAGGAATTTAGTTTCCAGTTCTTTCTTTTCTCCAACCCTTGGTGGCGGCTCGCGTCGGCGGCCTTCGGCCGCCGACGCTTGCGGCGCGGCCTTCGGCCGCGCGTGAGGGGCGACAAGGACACACGGCTTCAGAATCAACAACGACTACAGCAAGTGCACACATACAGGGTCTACAACCTGCCAACACCACACTCGGCAGACACCCATGGAGAGCCTAACACAGCTTACCAAAGCACTCACGCTAGGGAGCACCTCGCCAACGAGGACCTACACACGACGACAGCCCGTCATGCGGCTCCGTCCGCTCCAGCCTCCTCAAGCAGGGCCCTCACGTAGTCCCCAAGGAGCATCAGCGCTGACACGGCGCCGCCATCGATGTCTACAGCTGCAGCCGAATCTACGCTCGCCGATACTGCCCGCATCACGGCGAGCAGGCGCGGGTCCAACACGGTTCCCGAGGCGGGCGCAGGCTGCACTCGCGTTGACACGACAGCCAGATCCGCTGCAGCCATCGCGCAGCGGTGGAGCAGATCATGAGGCAACTTGCACGGGCTCACTGAGCTCCGTAGAACGGAGTGTGAGTTCGTCAGCATCTCCACAGCATACCCCATCGCCCGCTGCCCGTGCCAGAGCCGACGAAGCGTGGCGACTGGGATCGCAGTCTCCGCCAGCCGCTCCCTCCCATGCAGGCGCTCCAGCTGCACCCTCGGCGGCATCCGCAGCCCACCCGAGCTGGGTGGATGGCTAGCCACGGAGCCATCCTACCACCGACGCATCCGGGGGCGTCGGCTGCCAGGGCGGCAGTATCTCCGCAGATTGCACGTCCAACCGACGCGGATCGAAGGGTCCGGCCGAGGGGAGGATTGGAGGTGGAGGTGCAGAAAGAAGGGGCGCTACGAGGTGCTGACTGTCGGGGAGCAGGAGAGACGTCGCGGTGCGGGGAGGGAACACCTGCGTCGGCACCTGAGGAAGGGGGAGACGCGCGGGCTGCGGGTGCGCCTGCTGGTATTGCTGGGACGCCAGAAGCTGCGGAGAATACACCAGAGCCTGCTAGGGCTGGGCGACAGTGCGGAACAAGCCCTCGAGAGTCGCGGCGACCCGCCCCAGGCGCCTCTCCGCTGCTGCCCCACGGTTACTCCCCCCGCCTGCCCTCCAGCTAACGCGCTGGCCCGAACGCCCGCGCGGCGCCTGCGGAGTCCGGCGCTGCTGTGCCGGCTCCGCCTGTGGGCGGCGCTGAGGCGTCCCTAGGCGAGAGGGATGCTACTGGCACGGCGATTGATGCACCTCGCCAAGCGCCACGGGTCTGCGACCGATCTCCAAGGCACGCTCGGGGGACTCCTCCTCGTGCCTCTGGGGCGCGGCAGTCCGGCCCCGCGACTGCCCACGCATCCGCTCGGGAGAATGTTGGCGAGCCGCCGAGGGGTCGAGGAGCCCGCGCTCCCAATCTCGGTCCGACTGTGCCGGAGGACTCGCCCGACCTCGGGGGGACATACTATCCCCAGTGCTCTCCAAATCGGCCGATCGCTCACGATCAGGCCGCTGCATCACAAGGTGGCGCGCCGCACTCGGCACCCCCCACAACTCGGCATAAACGTCGGACGTCGACTGGGCCCGCCCTGAGAGGAAACCGCGGTAGAGGGCGTGAAAGACTCAATGCACGGACGGCAAGAGGGCGCGGTCGCGGGACTGCTAGGCTCGGCGATCTGTCCTCCCACGTAGGACCGCTGAACGGATGCCAGCAAGCTGCGAACAGGGCTTTAAGAACTTCGGAACTGCAAAGAACAACTGGTGAGGAGGAAAGGGCGGACGGGACTTATATACCCGAGGAGCAGGAAGATTCCACTAGTGAGATTTTCAGCGAGGAGGAAAGCAAGACTCGAACAGGCGTGCTGGAGGAAGAGATGCTGGCCCAACTCCCAGATCTAGGGGACGAGGGTCCAGCCGCATGCATAATACTCGGGCGCCGCTGGACACCCATCCCCAGGCAGCTCCGCAGCTGTCTCCGGAAGAACTGGCGAATGACACTTCCCCTTTACCTCGCCGAAAATCGCCAATTAGGACATCGCAGCTCTCTGCGACAGTCGCCAACCCCCTCTCTCCCGCCGGTTACCTCCCCAAATCCGCCAACTTTTCACGCTCGCCCTTCTGACAACCTTCCTTTACCTCGCCAAACATCCAACCTCCATCGAGGGCTGGATCCTGTTACTCTACCTCCCGCGCCTTACCCTTCGCCTACCGTCGTCGAGACATCCCGATTGGCCCGCGATGGAAAATCGCCTTCGGCAATTTCTCGCAGGCGAATGGGACACCTTGTACCGGGCAGCTGCTTCCGCTGTTACCCTGACACCCCCACCCCCGCCACGTATCTGACACCCTCGGGAAAATATCCCGAGCTGAGGGCTTGGTACGACGAGGTAGTTTGCGACGGGCACTGCTCGCATTGACCTGTACCCCAGTCAGCGAGTGCACCCTCGCAATCCTGGATGCATTGAAGTCAAAACTCCCCCCCCGCTCGCCGCGGATCTTCACTGATCGTAGCTAGATGAGGACTGCAGACCACCGCCAGTCGACTTCGCCAACTTCGCGAAGCTGCTTTCCCGCTGCGAAAACTGGGTGGGAGCACGGCCCTCGGGTCAGATTTTCGAGCATCTTCGCGACGCCTCGCTATCCAACCCTTCATTCGCCAAGCACCTCCACGAGCTCATTCAACGCCTACTCGAGGGGAAACCTGCCGCACGCAGTCAGCCTGCTCCTAACCTCTTCACGCCTCCTGGCGTTTACCAAACCTCATGGGGGCACTCGCCCCAAAGCAGTTGGCGAATGTCTTCTCCGTCTCGCGGCTAAATTCGTCCTCATCTCTTCAACGCAGCCAGCCAAGACTATTTCCTCCCACACCAGTTCAGGGTAGCAGTCAGGAGCGGAGGCGAAATCATCATCCGCACCACCAGAAGTTTCACCTCCGTGTGCCCTGGATCGCTAATCTTGCAAGTCGACCGCTCCAACGCTTTCAACAGCGTTCACCGCGGGGCCATCATCCACGCACTCTATAACTCGCCTCTACGCCCGCTTCTTCCGTTCACTCAGTTCTCGTACAGGGCACCTTCCCTGCTCTATCTAAACGAATTTGGAAGCCCGCCCCTGCTGAGCGCGCGGGGCGTCCCCCAGGGAGACACCATGGGCCCCCTCCTTTTAGCGGCTGCCAACCACCCATCCCTCCAGGCCACCGCGACAACCCACCCCGGGGTCCTCTGCCTCGCCTACGCAGACGACCTTACCTTCGTCGGCACTCCGGACGCCTGCACCACGGCATTGCTCGCTTTCACCGCCGCCATGGAACGCACTGGTCTCTCCCACAACCCCGCAAAATGCGCGGCGTGGGCAGCGGAGCGCCCCACGACAGCCTGCCTGCCTCCAGACATACCCTTCCACAGCGAAGGGATCTGCGTACTGGGCAGTTTCATCGGTACACCGGAATGCACGGCCGGCTTGCTCCGCACCCAGCTCGTCCTGCTAGCCGAAGCCCTTGCCACACTGGCCACGATGGACCCTCTGTCCTCATCACTCCTCCTCACACGCTGCGTATCTCGGCGCATCTCATACCTAACTCGCGCCACCCCCCTTGACTTCCTACCCCTGGCGGTCTGGTTCGGAGTGGGGCAAAGAGCTTTACCACACTCTACTACACGCCTGCAACCTCCAAACTCCACGCGGCGAGTCAGAGAGAACGCGTACCTGGGACCAAGCGTCTCTCCCCCCCTCTCTAGGAGGGCTTGGACTCACCGACCCCGCAATCGAAGGGCACCCAGCCTTCCTCACCAACGTCACCCAAGCCCAGAGGCTGCTGGCTGCCCTCCCAGCGGCGGCTAGACGGCCCCTGGCGGACTTTGTCTACCACCTCACGCCCCCCTTCACCAGCCCCACTCACTTGCATACCTGGCTGGCGAAATGTGAAATGACGATGCCCCCCCGGGCCCTGGAGCTCCTACACGCTGAGCAGGTGGAACCCTCCGGCTCCCCTCTCCAACATCGCCTATCCCTTGAGGTCCAGGCCGTGTGGTACACCAACCAGGTGGCAGCCTTACGGACAATGGTCCCCAACCCCGACTCCGGGCACATACAACGCCTTTTTTCCCTGGCTGGGTATGGAGCAGGGAACTGGCTCCCTGCCGACCCAATCTTCTCATCCCTCCGCCTCGCAGCCTCACACTTCGCCTTTGCCCTGGCCTTCCGCCTCGGCCTGCCGTTCTCCTCACCCCGCACCTGCAACTGCGCCGTGGAGTTCGCAATCCTCGACACACGGCTCCCCAACCACCTCCTTCGATGTGGCACTGGACACGGACGGACAGACACCCATAACGCCCTGCGGGATGAGAGCATCCGGATGGCGCGGGACGCTGATTTCATGGTCACCAAAGAGACGACTATCTACAGCCCCGTAGACAGCCACAAGGCCGATCTTGCCCTCCGCGACCGCGGCTCCGGAGCCGTCTGGATCTGTGACGTCACCGTCACAGATCCCATCAGCAGCCGGGATCCGGACGCACGAAAAGGACGAGGATACATGGCCCGGGAGCAAGCTGACAAGAAAATCTCCCATTACCGAAATCGGGCTCCCTACGTTGGTTTCTTCCCACTAGCGGTCGAGACATATGGCTGCCCCTGCGCCGAGGTCCCTACCTTTTTGAAGCTGCTGGCACACACAGGGGCCAGGAGACTTTTCAATGCAGACCCAAGTTCCTACCAGGCAGCGAAACTGCTCCACCAATTTCGCCGACGATGGTCAGTGACGTTGCAGCGGGCGCAGGCCTTGGCTTACCTGGGCAAAGTAAATGAAGCCTCCCCTACCCCCCACACCCCCGTAGGCGCCCCTGACGCTGACATGGCGCCAGGTGACTGCTTTGCCATTGCCGAGCCCCTAGGGGAGCTCGAGTAGGACCGACCCTCTCAACATGCACGTACCATGACTTCTCGCTCCCCACCTGCCTAGCCTGTACCCAGGATTCCAAGCAATAAACGGACCGCTTGAGGGTGAAGACAAGCATGCAGCAATGGACAGCCAATACCGGCCTACCAGGGCTCACAGGGCTCACAAGCATGACTGACAGCGTGCCTATACTCCTCATAGGACTCACCTTGTAGCTGTAGTATCCAACATCATAGCCACCAGCGAAGATGTGGAGGAAGGAGCAGAGGAAGCGGTCAGAGGGCAGCGGCGGCAGCACGAGCATGCGCGACGCCACGCGGCTGTTGAGGTCGTAGATGGACTCGGAGCCCTCGGGGTCGAACGAGGTGTGCAGCTCCAGGTCAATGGACGCGAAGTGCAGCTGCGCACAGGGGCAGGGATGGGCAGGCGGGGGGAAGAGGGGAGAAAACAGCAAGGATTAGTGGGAGCGAGCATTTTGAGGCTGGACATGAGCTGTTGGGGGCGGACATGGACTCCAGTCACTCGGGGTCGAACATGGTGTGCAGCTCAAGGTCAATGGACGCAAAGTGGAACTGCACAAGGGAGGAAGGGTGAGGTAGCCATGGGTATCCATCAGAGTCGCACTACGCCTGAAGCAACGCCTGAGGCAACACCTGAAGCAACGCCTGAAGCAACGCGGCCATCCAGACCGTGCAAGCCTGTTGGGCTCGCCTACTCACCTGTCGCACCACGGCTGTCTAGAGGTGAGGTCACCCCCCTGTACCTGGCGCATCGTCATGGTGGCGGAGCGGAAGTTCTTGGCGGCGACTATCTTCTTGTACAGCTCCTCGGGGAGGGGCTCCCCGGTCTCGTAGTGCTTGGCAATGCGGAGGAGCGTGGCGCGGTGGTAGCACCAGTTCTCCATGAACTGCGACGGCAGCTCCACCGCGTCCCACTCCACGTTGCTGATGCCCGCCACCAGCCCCTCCTCCTGCCGCGTCAGCATGTGCTGCAGCGCGTGCCCGAACTCGTGGAAGAGAGTCTCCACCTGCAAGGACGGGAGGAGGAGGAGGGGGGAAGGGGGAAGGGGGGGGGGGAGGAGGTGGAGGGATGAGGGGAGCGGGTGAGTGTGCGCCACCAGCCCCTCCTCCTGCCGCGTCAGCATGTGCTGCAGGGCATGCCCGAACTCGTGGAACAGGGTCTCGACCTGGGAGGAGGGGAGGGTGTGTGGTGTGGGGTGGGAAAGGGGGCGGGACGAAAAGATGAGGGGAGCAGTAAGGAGTGAGAGCAGCCAGCCCCTCCTCCTGCCACGTCAGCATGTGCTGCAGCGCATGCCCGAACTCGTGGAACAGGGTCTCGACCTGCGAGGAAAGGAGGGGCGGGGGAAGGAGGAAGGAGGGGAGTAGGGGATGGAGGGGAAGAGGGGCGAAAGGAATAAGGGAGAGGGGAGGCATGGAGGAGGAGGCATGGAGGAGGAGGCACTGGAGCGGGGCAATCAGTGAAATCCACAAACAATCGGGGGGTTATAACTACCCACAAACCCCTTGGAAGGAAATACCTGCCTGCATGCATGCCTCAACAAAGTCATAAAGCTGGGTTTGTCCCCCACCGGGGGTGTCTGGTTGCACGCGATGTGCGTCACCGGCAGGTGGGCGGCAGGACTGGGGGCGAGGTGACTTTGAGTCGACTCGAAACCCTCTTGGAAGGCCATGAGCCCCCCCATACCTCGTTGAAGGTCATGAGGCTGGGCTTGTCTCCGACCGGGGGCGTCTGGTTGCACACAATGTGCGTCACCGGCAGGCGGGCGGCAGCACCCGGGGCGGCAAAGAGGCGGCTGCGGTTGCAGATGCCGTCCATCCACGCGCCGCCCCGCTTCTCCGCCGGCCGCGAGTACGGGTCCAGGACGAACGAGGCGATGGTGGCGCCGGAGGAGTCGGTGACCTTGTAGTAGCGCACGTCCGGGTGCCAGATCTGAGAGAGGGGGAGGGGGGGCAAGAAGGGCATATGAGAGAAGGGGGGAAGCTCCTATGCCAGTCTATCACCTTGCCATTATTTCACCTTGGCATTCTATCACCTTGGCATGTCAGGATGATGTGGCTCCGGTTCAAATGGAGCGTGGGGAGCAGAAGGAAAAGAGAGGGACACGAAGGAAAAGAGAGGGACAAGAAAGGAAGACACCACAAATCCCCCTCTCTCACCGGTGCCTCCCCGTCGGCGGGCTGGAAGGAGACGTCGAAGAGGCGTGTGGCGAGGTTGAAGAGCCCGTCAATGACCGCCGGGAAGGAGAAGTAGGGCCGCAGCTCCTCCTGCGTCAGCTCGTACCGCGCCTCCCGCAGCCGCTCTCCCCAGAAAGTTACATCCCACTGCCGCAGGTCGTCCGCCTCCTCCGCGCCCTGCTCCTTGGCGAACGCCTTGAGCTCCTCGTGCTCTGCAGTGCCCAGGCGGGAGGGGATGCTGGGGGACGGGTGAGTGGACTACAATTGATACCTGTGCCTTGGAAATGCACCAAGCTACCCTCGCATCGCATGCACATTGCACCGGTTACATCACGCTGCACAGTCAGCAGCATGCAGCGCACCTTTCACGGAGATGTCATACGCCGCCTCTCTCAAGTCGTCCACCAGCTTCCGTGCGCTCTCAATGGTGGCCATGCGCCACTGCATTGGCACCTGCACAACGTGTAGCATAGAGCGGTTGGAAAGGTAACGGTCAGCCAGACACAAGACGCTCATCTCTCAATGGCGGCCATACGTCAGTGCATGGGCACCTGTAGAGTCAAGGCAGGCGGTCAAGCATGCTGCGCAGAGAGAGAGGGAGCGGCAAGGACATCACAGTAGCAGAATGCGGAAAGTCATGCGCCCTGGCATGGGTATGTGCACAAAACGAATGAACACGGGGCCAGGCATGTGTGTCTGCACTGCGTTAGCAGCATTAGGTCACCATGTGACTAGCGTGTGCCAGCCTCACCTCAGCGAGTGTCAGCCTAACCTCAGCGTGTGTCAGCCTCACCTCAGCGTGGGACTTGAACCCCAGCAGCTTGGCCTTCTCCTGCCTTAGCTGCAGAATGCGGATGATCACAGGGGTGTTATCAATCTCGCCCTCTGAAGCGCGGGTAAGGTAGGCACGATACACTTCCTCACGCAAGCTCCGGTTGCGGCAGTGCTGCAGAGGAGATAGAAAGAGGACGCGAGAGAGGTGGGTAACAGGTGCTATGCAGCGCGTTTTGCAAGAGGGGTTGTAGTGCTCGCACAAAGAGAAACACGGCACACATGAAAGAGAAACACGACACCCATGCATGCGCGTGGCAAGGTGACTTTTGAGTCGACTCAAAAGTCACCTCGTACATGAGCAAAGAGACAAGGTTACGAGGACAGGCATGGTTCATGTATCCATACCTGCATGAGAGGCAGGTAGGAGGGCAGATCGAGCGTGAAGGCCCACGGCCCATTCTCTGCCGTCGCTCCCTCGTGACCCTGTGCATGTCACCAAACGAGTAACGCAAGTCAGCGCATGAGGCAGGGGTTGCACACGGGTGGCAGGGGGTGCACACGGGTGGCAGGGGGTGCACACGGGTGGCAGGGGGTGCACATGGGTGGCAAGGGTGGAAGAGGAAAGCGTGATTGATTGAAGGAGGTGCAAGTGACAAGGCTATGGGGACAGCAGAGAAACAGCAGCAGCAGCGGCAGCAGCAGAAGCACCCACGCACCTTGCCAACAGCGGCCTGAGCAGCAAGGCCCAGCGCAGAGGGCGGCAGGCCCGCCACGTCAGCGGGGTCGGTGACGATGCGGACGAAGTTCTTGGTGGCGTCGAGCACGTTGTTCTGGAACTTGGTCTTGAGCTGCGCTATCTCCTGCTGGATCCTGTTGAACTGCTCCTTCGCCTCCCCCTCCAGCGCCACGCCGCTGGTCTTGGCGGATGTGAGCTCGGCTGCACATCAGTGGGGGAGGGAAGGTCAGGGAGGGGACGAGTCAAGGAGGGGACGAGTGGAACTTGGTCTTGAGCTGCGCTATCTCCTGCTGGATCCTGTTGAACTTCTCCTTCGCTTCTCCCTCCAGCGCCACGCCGCTGGTCTTGGCGGACGTGAGCTCGGCTGGGAGGGGCCAGGGGGGAAGAGAGGTCAGGGAGGGGATGAGTCAGGGGGGTTGAGTTAAGGGGTGGACGAATGGAACTTGGTCTATCTCCTGCTGCACCGAGTTGAACCGCACCTTTGCCTCTCCTTCCAGGGCCACGCCGCTGGTCTTGGCGGACGTGAGCTCGGCTGCACGGGAGGGAGGTCAGGGAGGAGATGAGTGGAGGACGGAACTGGGTGACGAATCGAGTGGAGGACGGAACTGGGTGGCGAATCGAGTGGAGGACGGAACTGGGTGACGAATCGAGTGGAGGACGGAACTGGGTGACGAATTGAAACAAGCCGAGGATGCGCGAGGGGAATTGAGACACCATGCCCAGCCACCCACCCAGCGGCCACACAGCCACCCACACGCACCAGCCTACGCACACACCAGCTCACTCTTCACCACCAACCCACACTCACCAACCCACACTCACTAACCCACACGCGTCAACTCACTCGCAGCAATCCACACGCACCAACCCACACACACCAGCCCACGCCCACCAAACTCAACCCCCCAACTCACACTCAACGACACGCTTCTGCGCCACGCTGAGGCTCGCCCACAACGCCTCATCGTTCCTAATCGCCACAAACGCGTCGTAAATGGGGCGGCTCTGCCCAAGGCGCAGCGAGAGCGCCACCACGTCCGGCTGCACCTCCTCGAACGCCGCCCGCAGATCGTCCGAGTTCTTGACGGCGTTGAGGTGGTTCACCGCGCCCCACGGGATCGACAGCCGGTCCTGCAGTCGCTCCAGGGGCTCCACCAGGCCCGCCCATGTGGGCTTCACGTTCTTCTCCAGCGCGTCCAGCTGCTCCTCCTGCGGGAATCCGTGTGAAAGACGAGACAAAACAGGTACTTGAGTTTGCACATTGTATCTTGCGTTCTTCTCCAGGGCGTCCAGCTGCACCTCCTGCGGGTATGAGTGTGAATGCGGGATGATGTGAGCATGGGAATCGAATTTCGTGTGGAATCTCTTGTCCATTCCTGAACGTTTGGCTGCTCCAGTGAATATCAGTGTAAAACGCGATGAGGATATTGGGACGACATCGACTCTGGCATCATTCGCTTCTCCCGAGACTAGTTTCCTGAGAATTTGACTACTCAGACTGACACACTGACTACTCAGACACTATTTCTGGAACATTGAGCGCTCAGACGATACATTCGAGCGACATCGAGTTCACAGACACTGAAATCCAACGACACATGTTGATCACACACTAGATTTCTGAGACGTTGAGTGCTCGGTCACTAGATTCCTGAGACGTTGAGTGCTCGGTCACTAGATTCCTGAGACGTTGAGTGCTCGGTCACTAGATTTCTGAGACGTTGAGTGCTCGGTCACTAGATTTCTGAGACGTTGAGTGCTCGGTCACTAGATTTCTGAGACGTTGAGTGCTCGGTCACTAGATTTCTGAGACGTTGAGTGCTCGGTCACTAGATTTCTGAGACGTTGAGTGCTCGGTCACTAGATTTCTGAGACGTTGAGTGCTCGGTCACTAGATTTCTGAGACGTTGAGTGCTCGGTCACTAGATTTCTGAGACGTTGAGTGCTCGGTCACTAGATTTCTGAGACGTTGAGTGCTCGGTCACTAGATTTCTGAGACGTTGAGTGCTCGGTCACTAGATTTCTGAGACGTTGAGTGCTCGGTCACTAGATTTCTGAGACGTTGAGTGCTCGGTCACTAGATTTCTGAGACGTTGAGTGCTCGGTCACTAGATTTCTGAGACGTTGAGTGCTCGGTCACTAGATTTCTGAGACGTTGAGTGCTCGGTCACTAGATTTCTGAGACGTTGAGTGCTCGGTCACTAGATTTCTGAGACGTTGAGTGCTCGCTGATCTCGGTCACTAGATTTCTGAGACGTTGAGTGCTCGGTCACTAGATTTCTGAGACGTTGAGTGCTCGGTCACTAGATTTCTGAGACGTTGAGTGCTCGGTCACTAGATTTCTGAGACGTTGAGTGCTCGGTCACTAGATTTCTGAGACGTTGAGTGCTCGGTCACTAGATTTCTGAGACGTTGAGTGCTCGGTCACTAGATTTCTGAGACGTTGAGTGCTCGGTCACTAGATTTCTGAGACGTTGAGTGCTCGGTCACTAGATTTCTGAGACGTTGAGTGCTCGGTCACTAGATTTCTGAGACGTTGAGTGCTCGGTCACTAGATTTCTGAGACGTTGAGTGCTCGGTCACTAGATTTCTGAGACGTTGAGTGCTCGGTCACTAGATTTCTGAGACGTTGAGTGCTCGGTCACTAGATTTCTGAGACGTTGAGTGCTCGGTCACTAGATTTCTGAGACGTTGAGTGCTCGGTCACTAGATTTCTGAGACGTTGAGTGCTCGGTCACTAGATTTCTGAGACGTTGAGTGCTCGGTCACTAGATTTCTGAGACGTTGAGTGCTCGGTCACTAGATTTCTGAGACGTTGAGTGCTCGGTCACTAGATTCCTGAGACGTTGAGTGCTCGGTCACTAGATTTCTGAGACGTTGAGTGCTCGGTCACTAGATTTCTGAGACGTTGAGTGCTCGGTCACTAGATTTCTGAGACGTTGAGTGCTCGGTCACTAGATTTCTGAGACGTTGAGTGCTCGGTCACTAGATTTCTGAGACGTTGAGTGCTCGGTCACTAGATTTCTGAGACGTTGAGTGCTCGGTCACTAGATTTCTGAGACGTTGAGTGCTCGGTCACTAGATTTCTGAGACGTTGAGTGCTCGGTCACTAGATTTCTGAGACGTTGAGTGCTCGGTCACTAGATTTCTGAGACGTTGAGTGCTCGGTCACTAGATTTCTGAGACGTTGAGTGCTCGGTCACTAGATTTTTTTTTTTTTCTGAGACGTTGAGTGCTCGGTCACTAGATTTCTGAGACGTTGAGTGCTCGGTCACTAGATTTCTGAGACGTTGAGTGCTCGGTCACTAGATTTCTGAGACGTTGAGTGCTCGGTCACTAGATTTCTGAGACGTTGAGTGCTCGGTCACTAGATTTCTGAGACGTTGAGTGCTCGGTCACTAGATTTCTGAGACGTTGAGTGCTCGGTCACTAGATTTCTGAGACGTTGAGTGCTCGGTCACTAGATTTCTGAGACGTTGAGTGCTCGGTCACTAGATTTCTGAACGGAGTGCCGGTCACTAGATTTCTGAGACGTTGAGTGCTCGGTCACTAGATTTCTGAGACGTTGAGTGCTCGGTCACTAGATTTCTGAGACGTTGAGTGCTCGGTCACTAGATTTCTGAGACGTTGAGTGCTCGGTCACTAGATTTCTGAGACGTTGAGTGCTCGTCACTAGATTTCTGAGACGTTGAGTGCTCGGTCACTAGATTTCTGAGACGTTGAGTGCTCGGTCACTAGATTTCTGAGACGTTGAGTGCTCGGTCACTAGATTTCTGAGACGTTGAGTGCTCGGTCACTAGATTTCTGAGACGTTGAGTGCTCGGTCACTAGATTTCTGAGACGTTGAGTGCTCGGTCACTAGATTTCTGAGACGTTGAGTGCTCGGTCACTAGATTTCTGAGACGTTGAGTGCTCGGTCACTAGATTTCTGAGACGTTGAGTGCTCGGTCACTAGATTTCTGAGACGTTGAGTGCTCGGTCACTAGATTTCTGAGACGTTGAGTGCTCGGTCACTAGATTTCTGAGACGTTGAGTGCTCGGTCACTAGATTTCTGAGACGTTGAGTGCTCGGTCACTAGATTTCTGAGACGTTGAGTGCTCGGTCACTAGATTTCTGAGACGTTGAGTGCTCGGTCACTAGATTTCTGAGACGTTGAGTGCTCGGTCACTAGATTTCTGAGACGTTGAGTGCTCGGTCACTAGATTTCTGAGACGTTGAGTGCTCGGTCACTAGATTTCTGAGACGTTGAGTGCTCGGTCACTAGATTTCTGAGACGTTGACAGCTCAGACCCTTCCTGGAACATGCGCTCAGACGACTGATTCGTGAGAATCCAGTGCTCAGACGACTGATTCGTGAGAATCCAGTGCTCAGACGACTGATTCGTGAGAATCCAGTGCTCAGACGACTGATTCGTGAGAATCCAGTGCTCAGACGACTGATTCGTGAGAATCCAGTGCTCAGACGACTGATTCGTGAGAATCCAGTGCTCAGACGACTGATTCGTGAGAATCCAGTGCTCAGACGACTGATTCGTGAGAATCCAGTGCTCAGACGACTGATTCGTGAGAATCCAGTGCTCAGACGACTGATTCGTGAGAATCCAGTGCTCAGACGACTGATTCGTGAGAATCCAGTGCTCAGACGACTGATTCGTGAGAATCCAGTGCTCAGACGACTGATTCGTGAGAATCCAGTGCTCAGACGACTGATTCGTGAGAATCCAGTGCTCAGACGACTGATTCGTGAGAATCCAGTGCTCAGACGACTGATTCGTGAGAATCCAGTGCTCAGACGACTGATTCGTGAGAATCCAGTGCTCAGACGACTGATTCGTGAGAATCCAGTGCTCAGACGACTGATTCGTGAGAATCCAGTGCTCAGACGACTGATTCGTGAGAATCCAGTGCTCAGACGACTGATTCGTGAGAATCCAGTGCTCAGACGACTGATTCGTGAGAATCCAGTGCTCAGACGACTGATTCGTGAGAATCCAGTGCTCAGACGACTGATTCGTGAGAATCCAGTGCTCAGACGACTGATTCGTGAGAATCCAGTGCTCAGACGACTGATTCGTGAGAATCCAGTGCTCAGACGACTGATTCGTGAGAATCCAGTGCTCAGACGACTGATTCGTGAGAATCCAGTGCTCAGACGACTGATTCGTGAGAATCCAGTGCTCAGACGACTGATTCGTGAGAATCCAGTGCTCAGACGACTGATTCGTGAGAATCCAGTGCTCAGACGACTGATTCGTGAGAATCCAGTGCTCAGACGACTGATTCGTGAGAATCCAGTGCTCAGACGACTGATTCGTGAGAATCCAGTGCTCAGACGACTGATTCGTGAGAATCCAGTGCTCAGACGACTGATTCGTGAGAATCCAGTGCTCAGACGACTGATTCGTGAGAATCCAGTGCTCAGACGACTGATTCGTGAGAATCCAGTGCTCAGACGACTGATTCGTGAGAATCCAGTGCTCAGACGACTGATTCGTGAGAATCCAGTGCTCAGACGACTGATTCGTGAGAATCCAGTGCTCAGACGACTGATTCGTGAGAATCCAGTGCTCAGACGACTGATTCGTGAGAATCCAGTGCTCAGACGACTGATTCGTGAGAATCCAGTGCTCAGACGACTGATTCGTGAGAATCCAGTGCTCAGACAACTGATATCCGACGACTCTGAGCGACCAGACACTAGATTCTTGAGACATTGAGTGCTCAGACAGATTCCTGCGACATTAGTGCTTCGACACTTGTTTTTTGAGAAATTAAGTGTTCAGACAGTGCATTCCTGCGACATTGAGTGCTTAAACACTTGCTGGATTCCTCCGACACAAAATTCGTGAGACACTGAGTTCGCAGACATGGAATGAGACATTGAGCGCTCAGACTTGCCGCTTCGCTACGTACCACTTCCTTGAGAATGGCCCGCATGCCGGGCACGACGTGCTTCGGCTCGATCTTATCGAACAGCGGGATCGACGCGGGATTCAGCGACAGCAGCGGATTCTCCTGGATGTCTGCTGGAGCCTCCGTGGTTGCCGCTGCTGCAGCCATTGTCACTAGTGGTCGGGTCTTTACAGACGAAATTCCGGACACTGGAAATGACCCGCGCCCTGAATTGATCGCGGACAGTGAATTAGGTCTCGCGACAAGGCGGTTCGAGCAGAGAGAGGAGGGAGTCGGAAGCAAGCAGATCCCGACCGTTCGATTGCCGGCCTTGCCTGAGAGCTCGGCTCGCAGCAAGCTAGGAGAACTCTTGAGCGCTGACGGGGCGCTAGAGGAGCACAGAGGCATGGAGAGGGAAAGGGCCATAAGCAGACCAATCCTAGCTCGTGGCGGCTGGTTATGTGCGAGAAACTTCAAGCTTGAAGTTACTGTTGACACAAGCATGGCGTGAAATAATGTCTGCTGAAGTTCCACACAAATACAGTGCGAGGGGCTGGGCTGGGCTGCATTCAGCGCGAGCAGTCGCGGGAACAGACACAACAGGCGGAACAGGCGGAACAGCGGAAGAGGGGAAGAGGGGAAACTGTGAATCTGATCGGGAGAGAGGGCCACAAGCAGGGCGCTGCACTCCGGTTGGCGGAGGGGGGAAAGGGGGGAACGAAGTGAGAGTGAGCGCAGGGAGCGGAACTTTGTGGTCTGCCACGAGGCCGCTGATGACGCTGCCACGCGTCCAGCTTTGCGAAATGGCCAATGATAACAGTCTACTCACCTCGATTGCACCGAGCAGTGCTTCGTTATGGCAGTAGAACTACGAGTGGCTCCTAGACTACATGTTGTGGTAGGCAAGAAACGAGGTTTGACCAAGAAACATGACAACATGTGTTATTGATGCGGAGACTAACCACGCCATGCTAGGTGGTATCATGCAAATATACAACTGAAAATCTGTACTGAAGCAAGAAGATTAGAGAGACAGTGGATTTTCAAAGAACCTGAAGTAACCTTCCTCCAGCAAAAGGACACGGGCCAAAAGTGTAGGTGCTGGGATTCGAGCCCAGGTCTCCACGGCCACAACGTGGGATTCTAACCACTAAACTACACCGACATGTCATAAATGGAAAATAATAAAATTCAAACCTTTTTGTTTAATTTTGCAGTCACAACTCCAGGCGCAGATCATGCCAACGTGTGTTTCACTCGCGATCAGTGTCAGGACATGAGCAGATCCGCAACGCATTGCACAGAACCAGGCACGTCTTATTCTTCGCGTGTGTTATATATACATCCATACCTTCGTTAGCCTATCGGAATATCCAGAGTGCAAGCTCCAATCTCCAACCTAGCAAGGAGCAGGTGCAGGAGCCGGCGGAGGAGGAGAAGGCAGCGCGGCATGGATTGGGGCAACGTGACGGGCGAGGAGCTGGTGGACGCGCTGCGGGAGGTGGAGTGGTCCACGCCGCCGCGCCCGCTGGCGGAGTTCGTGCAACGCTTCTCCACGCCCAAGAACGCCAGCAAGTGGCGCAGCCGCCTCAAGTGCAATGCCTACTAGTGAGCGTTCGGTCGATACCCTAACTGGAGATTAGACGTCTCGTTACTCGCCTTGGGGCTAGATTATTCTGCGAAGACGTAGTCGTAGCTCGTATCTTTCCATTTGAGCTGGAACGGAGGCGTCGCGATGTGATGAAAGGGAGACATGCCGATGTAGTACGTAGGACGATCACGATGACTTCTGCCGATGTTGAACATGGGCCGAAATGTCATGGAACGATGTTGATCTCGCGTGCACGTCTCATAAACGATTCAGCATCTCACGGCGCAGCTTAGCAGCACGTGTTCGGGCTTTTCCCTGTGCCGCATATCTCACTTTTCTGATCCCTTCCGCTGACTGATCCTCCGCCCACCGTAGCATCGCATAGCGCGTATGATTCATCCCGGTTTCCCCGTCTTTCCCCGTGCCTCCGCGGCAGCTATCGCACCAACTACTACATCCTCGTCTGCTTCGTCAACGGTATGCCCCCACTTCCAATCGCTCGTCTGTCGTTGGACTGATAACCTAATCGTTCGATTGCACCCAACACGGACGGCCTGGCTAGCTCCGGTAGTGAGCTGCAGTAGTGTTTTGCTCTTGCTGAAATAACAGTGTGCTTTTCCTTAGAACTCTCCCCCCTTCTCCGCCCACCCTCCCCTCCCCAAACACCCCTCTCCTCGCCTCCCCTCTCCGTCCCCACCCCCTCCCGCGGGCTGCCTCCCCCTCTCATCGTAATGACATTACGTTTCTCCTCCGCCGCTCTGCCCGGCAAATCCCCCCGCCAGCGTGCTGTTTCGCGCGCAACCCTCTCGCGCTGCTCGCCGTGCTGCTCGCGTCCATCGCCCTCGCCAGCCTCAACGACAGGTCAGTCGCCCCGCTGCCACAGGTGCCTACCTCGCGTCGACTCCAGATCTCTAGCCACCCTCAACAACGGATCAGTCGGCCTTGCTGCCACATGTGCGTCGCTACATCCGGTTGAGAGGTTCAGTCCTGCAGTGGTTGACACGACAGGCTTGCCAGTATAACTGGCACTTGAGCGCCTGGGAAGTTGCCAGACATGTGAAAGTACAAGCTTCTGAAGGGTATTACTTAGAATTCTTACAAAAATACCCTCCAATCCCAATCCCCTCTCTTTCCCATCTCCCATTGCTCCTCTCGCGCACCCTCTGCTGCGTTTTCCTCTCATCTCCCATTGCTCCCCATCTCTGGTGACTCCCATCCTCCTCCTCTCTCTCTCTCTCCTCCTCCTCTCTCGCTCCCATCCCCCTCCTCTCCCCCTCTCACTTCCCCCCCCCCATCCTCCTCCCATTCCCCTCCGCTTGCGCTCCCGTTCCTCCCTCGTCCAACCCCCTCCCCTCGTTGTGCCGCCCCCGCTTCCTCCCTCCCTCCCCTTCCCCCTCCCGGTTTCGCCCTCTCTCGGCGAGCGCCTCACTTGAGCCACGTCTCCTCATTCTCCCATTCCCCTCCCCTTGTCATCGCTTGCCCCTTCGTCTCTCATTCCTCGCTCTCTCCCTTCCCCCCCACAGCTTCGCCCTGTCTCTCAGCGAGCGCCTCACTCGAGCCATGTCCCCCCACCTTCGATCTCCCATTCCCCTCCCCTTGTCATCCCTTGCCCCTTCCCCTCCCATTCCCTGCCCTTTGCCTTCCCCACCTTCAGTTTCGCCCTGTCTCTCAGCGAGCGCCTCACTCGAGCCATCAGGAAGCTCTCTCCGCCCCTGGCAGCCAAGCTTCGGCCACCCCAACAGTACGCAGCCTTTCATAAGCCGCCCTCCTCCCCCCGTTACCCCCTGCTGCACTTTGCTTCCTGTAAGCCACTCCATCAGTCATTGCTCCACATAGGGGCATTTGTTTCTCGCCATGGGTCCACATAGGGGCATTTGTTTCTCGCCATGGGTCCACATAGGGGCATTTGTTTCTCGCCATGGGTCCACATAGGGGCATTTGTTTCTCGCCATGGGTCCACATAGGGGCATTTGTTTTGTTTCTCGCCATGGGTCCACATAGGGGCATTTGTTTCTCGCCATGGGTCCACATAGGGGCATTTGTTTCTCGCCATGGGTCCACATAGGGGCATTTGTTTCTCGCCATGGGTCCACATAGGGGCATTTGTTTCTCGCCATGGGTCCACATAGGGGCATTTGTTTCTCGCCATGGGTCCACATAGGGGCATTTGTTTCTCGCCATGGGTCCACATAGGGGCATTTGTTTCTCGCCATGGGTCCACATAGGGGCATTTGTTTCTCGCCATGGGTCCACATAGGGGCATTTGTTTCTCGCCATGGGTCCACATAGGGGCATTTGTTTCTCGCCATGGGTCCACATAGGGGCATTTGTTTCTCGCCATGGGTCCACATAGGGGCATTTGTTTCTCGCCATGGGTCCACATAGGGGCATTTGTTTCTCGCCATGGGTCCACATAGGGCATTTGTTTCTCGCCATGGGTCCACATAGGGGCATTTGTTTCTCGCCATGGGTCCACATAGGGGCATTTGTTTCTCGCCATGGGTCCACATAGGGGCATTTGTTTCTCGCCATGGGTCCACATAGGGGCATTTGTTTCTCGCCATGGGTCCACATAGGGGCATTTGTTTCTCGCCATGGGTCCACATAGGGGCATTTGTTTCTCGCCATGGGTCCACATAGGGGCATTTGTTTCTCGCCATGGGTCCACATAGGGGCATTTGTTTCTCGCCATGGGTCCACATAGGGGCATTTGTTTCTCGCCATGGGTCCCCCTGCCGTTCCATGCCCCTATGATCCCCACATCCGTGCTGGTTCTGCTCAGGAGGGCGGGGGTAGGGGCTTTCTCTTCATCTTCTGTCTTGCCCTGCCATTCCGCTTGCCTTGCACCTTGAGTCCGCTAACTGCTGCTGGTTGTGCTCAGGCGCACGGGAGTGAGGGGGCGGCCGTTGAGAGGAGCGGTGTACATCTGCGGGCAGGACAGACGGGTCGCGCTGTTCCTGCTGCTATTCCGTATGTGCCATGCCATGCCATGCCATGCCATGCCTCTTGCTTTTGCTGCTGGTCAGTGTGCGGTACATGGATGGTTCACGGGGCTTTCTGCGCATGTTGCATGCCCACATAACGATGAGCTGCGAGCCTGAATTCCCCAATTTCCTGATTCACATATGCGGCCCACCTTCTGACCTGTACTCTCCTGACCTCCCTTTCCGCCCTGCATGATTCGCCCCTCCCACCCGCCTCCTGTTGCACCCCCTGCTGCTTCGTGCAGTGAGTGCGTGGCTGAACTACGTCTCAAGAGCCTACGTCACGTTTGCAATTGCCTTCACCTCGAGTGTTCTACGTGAGTCGATGCCCCCTAGACCATGCTGCTTCTCAGTCGCAATCCACAACCCTGCAGTCTGTGCTGCACACAGAGCCCAGCACCTTCATCCGGTGCTTGCTGCCTGTGGCCTAGCGCTGCTGTATTTGTTGCCAGACGTGTTCCCTGATGTGCTTGTAAGACTCTTCCTCGCATCTTATTGGATTGCTGATTTCTAGGGCTTCCATTGATGGTCGTACACGCTACTTTCTAGTGAGTTCCCTTGCAACTCTTTACCCCCCTCCTGCCTCCATTCCACTTCCCTCCCCTCGCCCTGGTCCCAGTGGTGGTGGTGCACGCTACTTTCCGGTCGCCCAATCTCAAGGCCCGGCTAAACTCGTACAGAGAGGAGTTCAGAGCGGTGTGGCGTGGCTACAGTGACGCGCCCTGATACAGCGGCACGCTTTTCTTGCTAGAGCAAAATGCTCGTATAAAGCTCCATTCTCATACGACATGCAACCTACCTAATCATACCTTGCCATTCTTCCACATGGCAAAGGACAGTTGAAGCCAGTGCTGCTGCTACGGCAAGGGGAAACACCAGCAGCTGCTGGTTTCAGCTCGCTCAACCTAAGCTCATGTTGTGATGGGCAACCTTGAAGCGCTTTCCCTTCCCTCCCCATATGCCAGTCAGTAGGAGTGTTGGCAGGTAACTAGCAACTAGCATATTAAATCAAACGCTTACAATACTTAGGGAAGCTCGGAGTCAATGCCATTATAGATCATGTCAGCAGAATCTAGAACTTGAGGTTCGATCCTTGCTGGAACTATGGTGGTGTGGTCACACAACACAACTGATCAGGAGAATGACAATGTGAGTGACTCCTGTTGCGGCCGGTGCTGCCACACCTGTGACGTACCATATTGTAGGAAACACGGGGTTCAGGCGATAAAGAAAAGAGACCTTGGTGAGTAGGGAACCAAGGGCATGAAAAAGAACTAGAAGTCCAGTGGAGAAATGAGGGAAATCGAGTGCTTGTAATCATGCATGTGTGGTAGAGAGTGAAAAGGGGGGGTGAGAGTGAGAGCGAGAGAGAGATGGGGGGAGGATTATTGGAAGCAGCAGGGGACTATGGAGGGATAGGAGGGTTGGGAGGTGAGGTGCACCTTGACTCCAGCGAGCTCCAGCAGTTTCCTGGAAGCCGCGTACGCAATGTCCTTGGGGTTGCGAGTGGGTGGCTTGTCGGAGAAGAAAATGACCTCCTTGATTCCTGCCTGCCCTTGCACGCACACCATGAGGTAGTAATTTATCAGCCCTTGCACGCACACCATGAGCCATGTGCGCGGTAGGCCATGTGCATGTGAATGGTGCATGTGAATGGTGCATGTGAATGGTGCATGTGAATGGTGCATGTGAATGGTGCATGTGAATGGTGCATGTGAAATGCATATGGATCGTCCATGTGAAAGAATGGCAGTGGGGAAGGTGAGCCCAGTGAGGAGAAGAGGAGTGGGCAGCAGCAGCACAGGGGTGAGCAGTGGGCTGACCTGGATGATGACTTTGGCGCAGTCATTGCAGGGAAACATGGTCACGTACAGGCGCTGCCATGCCATGTGCGACACACACACACAGAGATTGCCATGTAAGAAACATGCACACACAAGCACTGGCATCACACTTCAAAATTATGGAGGTAAGAATCGTCGTGACAGAGGCATGCAGAAAGGAATACCTGGTCAGGTGGCAGACATACCTGGTCAGGTGGCAGACATACCTGGTCAGGTGGCAGACATACCTGGTCAGGTGGCAGACATACCTGGTCAGGTGGCAGACATACCTGGTCAAGCGCAGAGGCATGGTTTCTGTTGAGCACAGCGTTGACCTCCGCGTGGCACACATAGCTGGCACACAGGGGCATGCAGGGAAGGGATTGGAGGAAGGGATTGGAGGAAGGGATTGGAGGAAGGGATTGGAGGTATGGAGGGCTCTAAGGGTGCGAAGGGAATGGAGGTGATGTTGAGCCATGGGACGGGCGATGAGTGCGGGAAGAGAAATGAGGTGCAGCAGCATGAACACACCTCGCGCCTTGCTGGTGGTTGACGATGCAAAGCGGCACACAGATAAGCACACGATTTTCGAGGCGCCTCAAAAAGCAGCGCACAGATAAGCACACGATTTCTGAGGCGCCTCAAAAAGCAGCGCACAGATAAGCACACGCGCTGAAAGCACGGAGCAACTTACGGGTACTTGGTCTCGAGCGGGTCGTTCTGCGCTGAAAGCTGCACATGTGAGGGGAGAGAGGAAGGCAGCGACAGAGGGATGGACAGCAGAGGTGGAGAGAGGGAGAGGGGTGAAGCACCGAGCCTGACCAGATTAGACTGACGACACTCTGACATGGGATAGGAAGCATAACGAAAAGCCTGATATGACCATATCCCACCTTGGCCCATGGCGCACCATCCCACCTTGGCCCATGGCGCACCATCCCACCTTGGCCCATGGCGCACCATCCCACCTTGGCCATGGCGCACCATCCCACCTTGGCCATGGCGCACCATCCCACCCTGGCCCATGGCGCACCATCCCACCTTGGCCATGGCGCACCATCCCACCCTGGCCCATGGCGCACCATCCCACCTTGGCCCATGGCGCACCATCCCACCCTGGCCCATGGCGCACCATCCCACCTTGGCCCATGGCGCACCATCCCACCTTGGCCATGGCGCACCATCCCACCTTGGCCCATGGCGCACCATCCCACCTTGGCCCATGGCGCACCATCCCACCTTGGCCCATGGCGCACCATCCCACCTTGGCCCATGGCGCACCATCCCACCTTGGCCCATGGCAGGAGAGCGTCAGGTATACCCCTGGGGAAGCCATTGTAGCCGATGCCAAGAATGACATGGTCGCTGCCCACAATGCATGCTCCCACCTGCAAGCACGCATCCGAGCACGCAATGTCGCAACGGGAGGTATCTCGTTGGAATTTCCTGCCTGATAGAAACACCTGCTGTTTGTTAGAATCACCTGTCTGTTGGAATCTCCTGTCTGTTGAGATCACCTGTCTGTTTGGGTCTTTGGATCGCTGAGCGGAGAGGAACGCCATTGCCATGAAGTAGTCATCCCATGACAGGTACCTGCCATGCCATGCCATGCCAGGCCATGCCATGCCATGCCATGATTTAGGGGGGAAACAGCAAAAAGCACATGCAGAGTGCACAGAGCACATGCAGCGTGCACAGAGCACATGTAGCGTGCACAGAGCACATGCAGCGTGCACAGAGCACATGCAGCGTGCACAGAGCACATGTAGCGTGCACAGAGCACATGTAGCGTGCACAGAGCACATGTAGCGTGCACAGAGCACATGTAGCGTGCACAGAGCACATGCAGCGTGCACAGAGCACATGCAGCGTGCACAGAGCACATGTAGCGTGCACAGAGCACATGTAGCGTGCACAGAGCACATGTAGCGTGCACAGAGCACATGTAGCGTGCACAGAGCACATGTAGCGTGCACAGAGCACATGTAGCGTGCACAGAGCACATGTAGCGTGCACAGAGCACATGTAGCGTGCACAGAGCACATGTAGCGTGCACAGAGCATTGACATCAATCTCACTTGGGCGACACACGATGCATGAGGCATGAATCATGAGTCATGAGTTGGAGTTGTAGCATCAGTCGCCCAGCAAGTCCACACTCCACCACGCACCTCCACACACACCCATCACCTCGCACACATCGTAACCATGTCCATCTTCGCCGCTTACCCTCTTCTCATTCTTGCATCATACGGATCATGCTTCCTCCGATGATCCTTCCCCGTCCCTTCCCCCGTCAGTCCCGTCGCCTCCCTCTCACTCTCCTCCCTCTCATCGCCGTCTCCTCCTTCCGCCTTCCTCTCACCCTCCACGAGCCCCCCCATCGAGCACCCTTTCATCGCCATCTGCCGCGACATCGCTCCTGCTTGCTCGTTCGCGATGGTGTCTGCTTCGCCCGTCTCGCCCGTCGGAGCTTCCGCCGCGCCGCAGCTCATCCGTCGCCCTGCTTCACTGCGCCCCGCAGTCGTTCCCCCGTCCCGCCGTCCGCCAACGGCGCAACCGCCTCCTGCATTGGCGCAGCGGGCGCACGAATCACGCCGACGGCTGCAGTGCGCAGACCCGTCAGAACATCGCGCGGAACCGTCGGGGCATTGCGCGGAACTGCTGCAGCAACAGCATGCGGGATTGTTCGGGGGACGGCTATTCGGCGCACGGGTATCGGTAGAGTGACACGGGGCAGGGTCGGGCGGAGAGCGGTTCGCGCGGGTGGAAGGCCGGGAGAGCGCGAAGCAGGTGGCGGAGAATGCGGCGGCGGAAACGGCGGCTCCGAGCGCGGTTCCCGCGAGGGCGGCGAGGAGAAGGTCGGAGGAGAGCGGCGCGCGCGACATGGCGGAATAGGATACAAAACTCGGTTTAATGCGAATGCGAGAATGCGAAAAGTGCCAAATGCGAAGCTTTCTATCACGGGGCGAGGAGAAGGTGGAACGAGACGGGCGCACGTGGCATGGCAGGAGGATCAGAAATGAGCGAGTACGCGCAATGGGAGAGAGGCAAAGGCAGGGTGTTGCACCGGCGAGCTACCATCGAATGGGTGACTGAGTCTCGAAGGTCGCTGACTTATTTTGCACGGTGATTCAGCAGCGAGCTACCGTGGAATGGAAAGCAGAATGGAGAGCAAAAAGCAGTCTCTAGTCTCCTCGGCATTTCGACAACGACATCGACGGGGGAAACGCTTGATTCGATCGAACCAACCGAAGCTTTGAATGTTTGAATCAACGAACCTCTGTGGGCTGCTCGCGACTGCGAAGGGTCAAGCGACCTGTGAGTCTTTGCGAAACAGTTACCCTAATTGTTATACAAACTCATTTCGCCATTTTGCCCACGGTATTTGGATTTGGGCTAAAGATTTTTCAAACACTCCGCAAGCCAATTCGCAACATATACTGCACATATCTCCTCCTGGCCTCCTCATGTTTGTCTAGCAGTTCTCGCCGTACCACCGTGCCCAACCCACCCTTCCAGCACCCATCCTCTCGCCTCCCCGCCGATCGCGCTATGTCGTCGTCGGCGGTCGACGCGGCATGGCAGCGCCTCAAGGCCGCCACCGCACCCGCAGCCATGGCGGCAAGCCGGCGCTCCGCAACCCCCGCCGCCGCCGCCGCTCCCGCAGTGCCGCGCGGGGAGGAAGGCGGAAGCGCAACAGCCGCCGATCTAAACGCCGATGAGCCAGGCGCGGCGGATATTGCGGCGCCAGCAGCGGCGGGGAATCCGGGCGAGGCGGTGAAGGTGCGGGAGGCGCGCGTGGATCTGATCCTCACGCAGCGCCTGCGACAGTGCGGGGGCGCGCAGCAAACGAGTAGCGGCAGCGCGGAGAAGAAAGCCGTCCCGGTGAGCGGAGGCGCAGGGCTCAGTAGAGGGGACTCGTTGGATTCCAGTGGTGTTTTCTCGCAGCTGTAAGGGAGCCGCAGGCGCAGGGCACTACAGTGCTGCTTGTCACCCACCCACCCCAGCAAGTCCCCCCCCCCTCCCCCCCACTCCCCCCCCTTCCCCCCCCTTCCCCTCCCCCCTTCCCCGCCTCCCTCCCTGTCCGTCGTATCCTCCCGTGTCAGTCGTGGGTGTTCGATCTGGGCCTGAAGGCCCGACCAACCGTTTCCCTGGCAGCTCCTGCGGGTGGCGCTGACGTGAGGGGGGAGGGGGGCAAGAGGAGGGGAGAGGAGGGGGGAGTAGGGGCGGATGGAGCCGTACCTGCTGGGGCGAGGGGTGGGGAGGAGCGGGAGGGGGGGAAGGTGGAGGTGGAAGGGGAGGAGGAGGGCAGGGGAAGGGAAGAGGGGAATGCGGCGAGGGAGCTTGCTGACGTGGCAAGAGGGGAGGCTGCCGCCGCAGCAGCAGCAACAGCAGGCGTGGAACGAGCGGCGGCAGCAGCAGCAGCACTGAGAGCCACGCAGGCAGCAGCGAGTGGTGCTGTTGGGGATGAGACCAAGGTCAAAGTAAGTCAACGCTTTTCCAGTCAACTCAAACGGAAAAATGTGGATAGCATACCAGTGAAGCTGAGTTGATGGCATGAAGACAACCATTGCGCATCAGGTGGCCTCGTTACCCAGCGCATTAGACTGCTCGTGGGTGACTTTTGAGTCAGCAGCAATGCACGAGCAGTCTAATGCGCTGGGGTACCGTGGGTGACTCAAAAGTCATGGGATGGGTCCCTTGTTTGAACAACTGCTCGCATCAGACTGCTCGTGCCTTGCTGCCATGGGATGGGTCCCTTGTTTGAACAACTTCCTGCTAGCAACGCCCCCCGTGAATCAGTTCTACCTCCTCTCCACCACTCTCTCTCTCACTCTTACCGTGCGCTGCAGGTGCGAGAAGTGGTGGACTTTGCAGGCGAGGCAGTGGACGTGTAACGACTGCCTTGAGGCGATGGACTCAACCCAAAGCCCTGCCACTCTGTGCTCCACGCCCCTCCCTCCCTCTTTGCGCTCTCTGGCATCTGCGTGCCCCAGGTGCGAGAGGTGGTGGACTTTGCAGGCGAGGCAGTGGAGGTGGTGCGGGTGCTGGACCCAAGGTCCAAGGAGGCTGCAGCTGCCAAGCGCAAAGCAGACATGCAGGTGGGAGGGAGACATGCAGGTGGGAGGGAGGCATGCAGGTGGGAGGGAGGCATGCAGGTGGGAGGGAGGCATGCAGGTGGGAGGGAGGCATGCAGGTGAGAGGGAGACATGCAGGTGAGAGGGAGACATGCAGGTGGGTGATGAAGAGTAAAAGTCCATCGTCCGTGCGATGAGCGCATGTATATCCTAAGCTGCTGCATTGTGCCCAACTCTACATCCTTCCCTCCTCTAGCCATCTGCTCTCCCCTCCCCTCTCTCTTTCTGCCAGGCGCCCACGTCCAAGGGTCTGAATGCCACCCTTGGACGCGACGTCCAAGAGTCTGAATGCCACCCTTGGACGCGACGTCCAGGAGTCTGAATGCCACCCTTGGACGCGACGTCCAGGAGTCTGAATGCCACCCTTGGACGCGACGTCCAGGAGTCTGAATGCCACCCTTGGACGCGACGTCCAGGAGTCTGAATGCCACCCTTGGACGCGACGTCCAAGAGTCTGAATGCCACCCTTGGACGCGACGTCCAGGAGTCTGAATGCTGTGCCCCCCTCTCCCTCCCCACCCTCTTCTCTCCCCCGTCTCTCCCTTTCTTCCCCAGGCGTCCACCTCCAAGGGGCTGGACGCCATTCTGGCGCAGATGGAGAAGAAGAAGAAACTCAACATCCTGGACAAGTCCAGACAGGTGCGCGCGCGATGGGTGGAGAAGGGGGGGGGGAGGGGAACAAAAAAAGGGGGGGGGGGAGTGTAAGAAGAAGGGGGGAGGGGAAGAGCTCAGTATCGTGGACAAGTCCCAGCGAGAGAGAGATGAGGGAGGGGAAGAGAGGCGAGTGGGGAGTAGGGAGTGAGATGTGCTGGGCGCAGGTGGGTTGTGCTGGGCGCAGGTGGGTTGTGCTGGGCGCAGGTGGGTTGTGCTGGGCGCAGGTGGGTTGTGCTGGGCGCTGGTGGGATGTGCTGGGCGCAGGTGGGTTGTGCTGGGCGCAGGTGGGTTGTGCTGGGCGCAGGTGGGTTGTGCTGGGCGCAGGTGGGATGTGCTGGGCGCAGGTGGGATGTGCTGGGCGCAGGTGGGATGTGCTGGGCGCAGGTGGGATGTGCTGGGCGCAGGTGGGTTGTGCTGGGCGCAGGTGGGTTGTGCTGGGCGCAGGTGGGTTGTGCTGGGCGCAGGTGGGTTGTGCTGGGCGCAGGTGGGATGTGCTGGGCGCAGGTGGGATGTGCTGGGCGCAGGTGGGATGTGCTGGGCGCAGGTGGGATGTGCTGGGCGCAGGTGGGATGTGCTGGGCGCAGGTGGGTTGTGCTGGGCGCAGGTGGGTTGTGCTGGGCGCAGGTGGGTTGTGCTGGGCGCAGGTGGGTTGTGCTGGGCGCAGGTGGGTTGTGCTGGGCGCAGGTGGGATGTGCTGGGCGCAGGTGGGATGTGCTGGGCGCAGGTGGGATGTGCTGGGCGCAGGTGGGATGTGCTGGGCGCAGGTGGGTTGTGCTGGGCGCAGGTGGGTTGTGCTGGGCGCAGGTGGGTTGTGCTGGGCGCAGGTGGGTTGTGCTGGGCGCAGGTGGGATGTGCTGGGCGCAGGTGGGATGTTCTGGGCGCAGGTGGGATGTGCTGGGCGCAGGTGGGTTGTGCTGGGCGCAGGTGGGATGTGCTGGGCGCAGGTGGGATGTTCTGGGCGCAGGTGGGATGTGCTGGGCGCAGGTGGGTTGTGCTGGGCGCAGGTGGGTTGTGCTGGGCGCAGGTGGGTTGTGCTGGGCGCAGGTGGGTTGTGCTGGGCGCAGGTGGGTTGTGCTGGGCGCAGGTGGGTTGTGCTGGGCGCAGGTGGGATGTGCTGGGCGCAGGTGGGATGTGCTGGGCGCAGGTGGGATGTGCTGGGCGCAGGTGGGATGTTCTGGGCGCAGGTGGGATGTGCTGGGCGCAGGTGGGTTGTGCTGGGCGCAGGTGGGTTGTGCTGGGCGCAGGTGGGTTGTGCTGGGCGCAGGTGGGTTGTGCTGGGCGCAGGTGGGTTGTGCTGGGCGCAGGTGGGTTGTGCTGGGCGCAGGTGGGTTGTGCTGGGCGCAGGTGGGTTGTGCTGGGCGCAGGTGGGATGTGCTGGGCGCAGGTGGGATGTGCTGGGCGCAGGTGGGATGTGCTGGGCGCAGGTGGGATGTTCTGGGCGCAGGTGGGATGTGCTGGGCGCAGGTGGGTTGTGCTGGGCGCAGGTGGGTTGTGCTGGGCGCAGGTGGGTTGTGCTGGGCGCAGGTGGGTTGTGCTGGGCGCAGGTGGGTTGTGCTGGGCGCAGGTGGGTTGTGCTGGGCGCAGGTGGGTTGTGCTGGGCGCAGGTGGGTTGTGCTGGGCGCAGGTGGGTTGTGCTGGGCGCAGGTGGGTTGTGCTGGGCGCAGGTGGGTTGTGCTGGGCGCAGGTGGGTTGTGCTGGGCGCAGGTGGGTTGTGCTGGGCGCAGGTGGGTTGTGCTGGGCGCAGGTGGGTAAGGAGGGCGTGGGCGTGGCAGGGGACAGGCGCGTCATAACGGGGACTGCCGACCCCCCTCACTGCCGACCCCCCTCACTGCCGACCCCCCTCACTGCTCCCTCTCTCTCTGCGCACCCCCCCTGTTCTCCCCTCCTCACCCTTCTCTCCCATCCATCAGGATTGGAGTGAGTTCGAGTGGGGCACAGGCGTGGCAGGGGTGCAGAGGAGTATCGCAGGAGCGTTGCTTTCCCCCCTCTCACGGCTACTCCCCATCAGTGCACCCCGGCCCCCCTTCTCTCCCCCTGTCTATCAGGATTGGAGCGAGCACAAGGAGGGTATGGGCGTGGCGGTGGAGCTGGAGGAGTGTCGCAGGAGCGTTAACTTCTTCCCCTCTCACTGCAGCCCCCCTGCTACCTACCATCCCGCCCTCCTCTTCTCTCCCCCCCCATCAGGATTGGAGCGAGTACAAGGAGGGCACGGGCGTGGCGGTGGAGCTGGAGGAGTACCGCAGGAGCGGCGCCACCTATACAGAGAAAAAGGCTTTTCTGGGGCAGGCTGACCTGCGGGAGTACGAGCGCGAGAGAGACGCCAAGCTGGCTGCGCTCGCCAGGAGGCCCAGGCCCACTGCAGGGGATTGAGTTCATTAGCGGCGCCACCTACCTACACAGTTGAGAGGGCTTTTTTGGGGTACGCTGACTGCGGAAGAGACGCCAAGCTGGCTACGCTTGCCAGGGGACCTCTGGCCACGGCCACAGCTGGTGGTTGATGGCTGTGAGTGCCAGGATGGAGGAGAAGGGCGTTTTTGGGCAGTGGAGAGAGAGAGAGAGAGAGATGCCAAGCTGGCTGCACATGCCAGGAGACCATGGCCGGAATGTCAAACATGTGTATTAGTTATGTTTGCATAGACTGTATAGGGTCACCTCTTAGAGGGTACAATACTTAGGTATATCTATCTGTACTCTCCCACTACTCATCATTCACTTCTCTCATTCTGATGTGGTATCACGCGTAGGTTAGGATCCCCCACCTACCGCTTCCGCTCGTCCTCTAGCTAGGCCCTGCCGCGCCCCTCCTGGGCCCCGCCGCGACCCCCTAGCCCCGTCGCGACCCCCCTGGGCCCCGTCGTGCCCCTAGCCCTACCGCGCCCCTCCTGGGCCCCGTCGCGACCACCTAGCCCCGTCACGACCCCCTAGCCCCGTCGCGACCCCCCTGGGCCCCGTCGTGCCCCTAGCCCTGCCGCGCCCCTCCTGGGCCCCGTCGCGACCCCCTAGCCCCGTCGCGACCCCCCTGGGCCCCGTCGTGCCCCTAGCCCTGCCGCGCCCCTCCTGGGCCCCGTCGTGACCCCCCTAGCCCCGTCGCGACCCTCCAGGGCCCCGCTACGCCCCTCGCCCTGTAGCGCCCCTCCTGGGCCCCGTAGCAAACCCTCCTGGGCCCCGCCACGCCTGCAGGCCCCGTTGCCCCCCTGCCCGGCCCCGTCGCGCCCGCCCGGCCCCGTCGCACCTGACCGGCCCCGTCGCACCCGCCCGGCCCCGTCGCACCCTGCCCGGCCCCGTCGCCGCCGCCCGGCCCCGTCGCACCCGTCCGGCCCCGTCGCGCCCGCCCGGCCCCGTCGCACCCGCCTGGCCCCGTCGCACCCGCCCGGCCCCGTCGCCCCCGCCTGGCCCCGTCGCACCTGCCCGGCCCCGTCGCACCCGCCCGGCCCCGTCGCACCCTGCCCGGCCCAGTCGCCGCCGCCCGGCCCCGTCGCACTCGTCCGGCCCCGTCGCGCCCGCCCGGCCCCGTCACACCGGCCCGGAGCCGTCGCACCCGCCCGGCCCCGTAGCACCCGCCCGGCCCCGTTGCGCCGGCCCGGCCCCGTCGCCCTCGCCCGGCCCCGTCGCACCGGCCCGGCCCCGTCGCACCCGCCCGGCCCCGTTGCACCGGCCCGGCCCCGTCGCACCCGCCCGGCCCCGTTGCGCCCTGCCCGGCCCCGTCGCACCTGCCCGGCCCCGTCGCACCCGCCCGGCCCCGTCGCACCTGCCCGGTCCCGTCGCGCCGGCCCAGCCCCGTCGCACCCGCCCGGCCCCGTTGCACCGGCCCGGCCCCGTCGCACCTGCCCGGCCCCGTTGCGCCCTGCCCGGCCCCGCCGCGTTTGCCGGGCCCCGCTGCACCGGCCCGGCCCCTGCGCTCATCCCTGCCCCGGCCCCTTCATCCTCACTGGTACGGTTCTCCCCCCCCCCTCCCTGCACCGTCCTGCTCCGCACTGCACTGCCCTGCACCGCACTGCACCGCCCTGCACCGCCCCGCACCGCACTGCACAGCCCTGCCCCGCACTGCACCGCCCTGCACTGCTCTGCTTTGCACTGCACCTCACGGCACCGTACTGTCCCATCCTGCACTGCCCCTGATGGCGGCAGAGCTTCGCTTCGACGCTGAAGGCCAGCCTCTGGAGTTCGAGGCGTTGCTTGCCGACCTCCGGCGCCAACTCACTGGCCAGCGGCAGGATGGTGAACCGCTTTCTGCACACCTTGACGGTACGCTCCCCTGCCCAGACCCCCCTGCTATTCTGCCCGCTGACTCCACACCCACTGAGCGCGAGTCTACTGCTGCCACTGCCCGTGCACGCTCTGTCTGGCTTTCTCGCGATGCTGTCGCCCAGCTTGCCATTAGCAACGCCCTTCCCCCGTCCGAGCGCCCTCGCTATAGGTCCCTCACTACTGCTCAGGCATACTTAGATGCTGTCATCAAGCGCTATTCCACCCCTCCGGCTGCCTCGGTGGGTCGCCTGATCCTCCCGATGCTCTTTCCTGACCTTGCATCTTTCCCCACTGTCTCTGACCTCGCTGCCCACCTGCGCTCGATAGATGAGACCTGGCGCGCTGCCTGCACTGACGCACAGCTTAGAGCCCACCAGCCGCCCATTACCTCTACCCTTTACCTGCTTGCCACCCGCCTCCCTGACCACCTTGCTGTCGCCCGCGACCACTTCCTTAGCATTCACCCCGCAGACCTCACCCTCAATGACTTTGTAGACACCCTGACTGTGATTGAGACCCGCCACCGCTCCATCGCCCAGGCGAGTGGTACTGTGCCGATCCCTATCTTTCAGGGTTGTGCCCCTGCTCAGTGTACCTTCTCCGACGGCTCTGCCGCAGTGGCTGAGACCGCTGCTGCAGCGCAGTTTCGTTCGGGGAAGGGCCGCCGCCCCAAAGTTGGGCGCGGCGGAGGAGGCGGGGGTGCGGGAGGGGGTGGTGGTGGAGTCGGGTCGTCTGGTGCTGAAGCGGACGAGGGGACCCTGCCCAGTCCAGCTGAGCCGCCGCCCCTGCAGTTGCAGCAGCCGCAGCAGCCGCCGCAGTCGCAGCCTTCGCAGCAGCCGCAGCAGCCGTCGCAGACGCGGCAGACGAGTGTCCTCCCGCCCGGGTGGCCCGGCGCTGGCGGTGGTCGGGCGCGTGATGGTGTGCCGAGTGGTGGTTCTGGAGGCGTGCGTTGTCAGTACCAGATCCAGACCGGTCCTCGCCGCGGCTTCGTTTGCGGTAAGATCGGTCACTCCACTCCCCGCCTGGACGACCTCTTTCGTCAGCGCTCCGGCCCGTCGCCAGACCTTCCGGACTGGCACAGTTTGCTTAGTCGTAAGATTCAGATTTTTGACATGGACATGGATGCCATTGTTTCTGCTCTGCATGTGATGTATGCTGATGACTCTAGTGTGCTTCCCGCTTATTACTCACTGTCGGCTAGTGTAGGTGTGCCTAGCTTAGCCTCCCCTGCTGCGTCAGGCGTAGGATCCCCTGCTTTGTGTAGTCTTGGTGCTTCCGCCGTCGTTCCGTCGCCAGACGTCTCTGCTTCGCTTTCCTTCACCCTGGACTCTGGCGCTTCCCGGTGTTTCTTCCGCGACTTCACCACCCTGACGCCGCTTCCTGTTCCTGCTGTCGTTTCTCTTGCTGACCCCTCCGGCGGTCCGGTAGTCGCCCGCAGTTCCACCACCCTTCCTTGTTCGGCGGTTCCTTCGGGCACTCTCACAGGTCTGCATATCCCCTCGTTCTCCAGGAACTTAGTTGGTGTCGGCTGCCTCCAGGACCTTGGCGTCACCACTACGTTCCCTGGTCACGAGCGGTATGCTGTCTGTACCGAGGCCGCCACTGGTGCCCCCCTGTCCACGTTCCCCCGGGACCCGGTGTCCGGCCTGTTCACTCTGGACACCGTGACCCCCCCGGCTGGAGCGCTCACCCAGGTTGCTGCTGCCTGCTCCTGTCGGTCCCTCACTCACCCGACTCTCCTTTGGCACCACCGCCTAGGTCACCCTGCGCTCCCACGTCTGCGTCACATGTCCCAGCACGGTCTTGTCCTTGGTCTCCCAGGTTCTCTCCCCGCGTTTCCCTCCTCCCCAGCCCCACCTTGCACGCCTTGTGTCGAGGGTCGGCTTCGCCGTGCCCCTCACTCCTCCTCGTTTCCCCCTACCGCCGCGCCGCTCAAGACCCTGCACCTGGACGTCTGGGGCCCCGCCCCCGTCCCTGGGCCGCGTCGAGAGCGCTACTTCCTTGTGCTTGTCGACGACTTCACTCGTTACACCACAGTCTTTCCCCTGGAGCGCAAGGCCGACGTGCCTGGCGCTCTCATCCCCTGACTTGTCTCTGCGCGTGTCCACCGCGGTCTCCCTGTCTTGCGTCTTCACTCCGACCGTGGTGACGAGTTTGCCTCAGGTGTCCTTGGTCGCTTTTGTCGTGCGGAAGGCATCACCCAGACGTGTACCCTACCGGACTCCCCACAGCAGAATGGGGTCGCTGAGCGACGCATCGGTTTGGTCATGGAGGTGGCTCGCACCTCCATGATCCATGCCGGTGCACCCCATTTTCTGTGGCCGTTCGCTGTGCGCTACGCTTCTCAACAGCTTAATTTGTGGCCGCACCCTCAGCAGCCGCAGGTTTCGCCGACCCGTCTTTGGACTGGGTCTCCTGGTGACGCGTCTGCGTTCCACGTCTGGGGCTGCCTTGCTCACGTCCGTGCCTCCGGCACGGACAAGCTCACTGCCCGCACCCTTCCCTGCGTCTTCCTCGGTTTTCCCCTTGACGCGTCCGACTGGCACTTTTACCACCCGCCGTCTCACCGCTTCTTTCACTCTCGCGACGTCACATTTGACGAGTCCGTCTCCTACTACCGTCGCTTCCCCCTCGGCGGTCCCCCGGTTACCCCCCCCTGTTCCTGGTCACTCCTTCCCCGGTAGTCCCTGCCCCTCCTCCTCCTCCTCCCCGTCCTGCCCCCTCTGGTGTGTCCCACGCCACCCCCCTTCCGTCGATAGACCCGGTTGAGGAGTCCTCTGACTCTGGTGGCCCTGCTGCGCTGCTGCGCAGTCCTCGCCGGCCGCCCCTCCCCCGGCGTCCCCTCCCCAGTCCCCTCCTCCACCGCCTCTGCCGCCGCTGCAGCCATCGTTGTCGCTGCCGCCGCCGCCGCCGCCGCCGTCCCAGCACCCGTTCGCTGACTCTGGCGGTGCTCGTCCCGGTCGCCCTGGGGGTGGTCCCTTTGGGGGTGCTGGTGTGGAGAGTGCCGGTGGTCGCCAAGGAGCAGCTTGCGGTCCAGGTGTCGTCGTTGTGCCGCCGCAGCAGCAGTCTCCGCCGGTGTCAGCCCTTTGCCTGCTCGGCCTTCCGTCCCCTGACCCTGCGGCTGTTCCTCTTCGACCGTCTCCTCCTCTTCCCGTCTACGGGCCTGTGTTCCCTCCGCCGGACTCGTCCCCGGCCCGTCTTCCCCCTCGTTCCCCTCCTGTCTCCCCTCCCCTGTCTCCTGACCCGACTCCTCCGTCGCACGTCTGGTCTCACCGTCCCTCCCGTGCTCGTCCTGCCTCGCCTGTCTTGCGCTCCCACCCTATGTTGCTTCGTTCCCACGCGTCTCGTCCTCCCCTCCTACCGTCGCCTCCTCCGTCCTCCCTTGTTGTTGCACCCCCCCCGCTGTCTGACTACCTTCGTGCCGCTCGTCCTCTTGTTCCCCGGGTCCTTGCCTCT